TGGATAATTTGTATGGAGGCAGACCCACTGCTTTGATGTTGTGCCGGGACAGCACTCTGCTGATACGGTTGAATATGGTCCCGACATAGGGAAGGAAGGCGACTGAGCCCGGTTTGTCTTCAGGCCGGCTGATGTTGGGCCGACGGTTGAGAACTCTGTAGATCTGCCGGTTGTTGTATCCGTTCTTCTTGAATACATCCTTCAGGAGCACCAACTCCGCATGTAGGCTGTCTTGATCACACAGTGCTCTGGCCCTGTGCACCAATGTAGAAAGTGCAGCTTGCTTGTTGGAAGGGTGGTGGTGGGACGCAGCGTTAAGGTACAGGTTAGTATGGGTGGATTTGCGGTACACTCTGTGGCCCAGGGAACCGTCGGGTCTCCTGTAAATATCTATATCCAGGAAGGGGAGGTGGCCTTCAGTTTCAGTTTCCATTGTGAACTGGATGCACTGGTTGATACTATTTATGTGGTTCAGGAAGTCCTGGACCTGAACCACATAAATAGTATCAACCATATCATAAATAGTATCTAACGGTATCCTCTTCAGTCTGCGTTAACGTGTCTCACGGTGTTGTCGCTTGCAGATTTACCTATACTTTTTCTTCAACCCTGAAAATGGGGGCGATACGTTCCTCCGAAACGTCGGTTAACACCACATATACACGGCGCCAAAGCCCAGAAGACTGCTTTCTTCAAAATTTGTCTTAACCGGGTTTTCGATTAATCATGATTTCCATCCCACCATTATCCCGGATAATCGAGAGTTGACTGTGCCTGTCTGTATAGTATGATTTTATCATGCGTTCTGGTGATGATATATGAACATATACTTTTATTATTGGCACCTAATTGTAGCGTTTTTTTACCTGATAAAGTAACAATATCAGCATAAATAGAGGCTGATATGTACCAATTAATTTCAGGCCCCATTTACAAGGGTAGTTTTGTTTCTGACATGTTTTGACTGTGTTACTATATGCTTGCTTCTGTGCACAGAGCCTCTACATACAGTGTCCTACATGCATGACAATCTATGGGGAGAAGACTGGCAATCAGCCACATGGCACCATGTGCTGGACAACCCTACCTCATTCCCTGCCAGGATACCATGGGACTAACACGCTGCAAATAACTTATAAGTAAGTTGGAGTGGAAGTTCTTACAGCAATGACTGGGCTGTAATGCTGTGTAGTTCAGAAGAATATATTGCCGCCATCTTCAGGGTTGAAGGCTAAGCCAAGAAAGAAATCACCTGAGCTATCTCACCTTGCTCTTGCTTGGCTTACTCTTCAACCATGCAGGTGGAGAGGACACATTCTTCCAAAACTCAGGCCTTCTAAGAACTACACTGTGTTCCATTGCAGAAACCCATACTCTTAATAAGTTAAAAGTAAGGCAATTCTCGTATTTTTCACCTTTATTTGTGAGATGCCTGGCTGAGGTCACAGATGAACTACAGTTTTTTTTTTGGAGGCTTAAAATCTCATGAGAAAAATTTTGTAGCTTGAAAATAGTTGTAAGTTAATCACACTGACTGTAAATACTTCATAGTCACCCAAGGACATAAAATTAAGTTATTGACTGTTATTGCCTGTGCATTTAGATCAGTTATGGGTTTTTATGAAAATGTTTACTTAAAAACAAGGAATTTTATGATCAGCATTGAATTTTAAGATTTTTTAAAAAGGGCCTGCATCGTAGGGCTGGTTATTAAAGCTGAATGTAAGAAGAACTTTTAGATATAAATCTTATAGAAATATGTGTCTGATTCCATCCTGTGTTGACAGCATTGCTTCTGGCATACAAGGTCCGGAACACCCAAACCCTGGGAGGCCATACTATGCTGTGGGATTCCCCCGAGTCTGCTACTTGCCTGATACAGAGAAAGGTCGCAAAGTTCTGAAGTTGCTGTCCATTGCCTTTGAACGCCGTCTTGTGTTTACTGTAGGCCGCTCTGTAACCACAGGTCGTGAAGATGTGGTCACATGGAATGAGATACATCACAAAACAGAGCCAGGAGTATCTAACACTGGCCATGGCTTTCCTGACTCAAGCTTCTTGGATCGATGCTTGGCTGAGTTAGCAGCTCAGGGCGTCACTGCAACTCAGGAAGAAGGGGCTCTCTACCAAGAGCTGTGCTAGTTACAGCCCGGTATTAGCACTGAATTTGTTCATATGTTTCTGGTGGGACTATGCAGTTCGTGAAGGAGTTTTGTGCAAAGATTTTGCCAGTTAAACGTTATGGATTTACAGATGCCTCATAAACTACAGCCATGCCAGTAGTTGAACTGTATCCATTGTTCCAGCTAACTTTACATTTGGGATCATGTCTTGAATAGTAGTGGCTGGTTTATGTAGGTATCTGGGAGATTGGTGGTATGTTATTGGTTAGTGTATCAGCTTCCAACCCAGTTGCTGGCCAGTGACTAGTTGACTCTGGAGACATAGAAGAAGATTGTCTCCTGTGAAGTAGTTGTCTTAACATGTTGCTGAGTTTCTGTATTAATGTTTTCAGTGATTTGCATGTTGATATGATAGCCACAAGGGATGCTTGTGAAATAATGAAAAAATTATCAACAAATGAGGTGAATACAGGTTGAGCAACATCATGGGGCAGCTGTATGTTACACAAGAGAGTTGTTTTTCATTACTCTAGAGTCAGCTTGTCATTGTGAGGTATCTAGTTCAGGACATTAGTCATTCGCATGTCACTGCTCATTTCCCACATTCCTATACACTTTAATGTACTGACTCTTTTAGACATTCACCCTGGTGATGACAAGAGTAGTTTTTGCCAAATTCAGGATGCAGCTCAGCCAGCAATGTAAAATCTGATGTGATGCCTCACATACCAGTCACAAAGGCCTGCTGTTAAGAATAACATCTTTACTCTACTCTCTGCATATATTTTTTTCACGTTTCAAGGCTGTGTGAGTTTTGCTAATTATGGTACCTGTAATGTTTACTGCAAGGCCCTGTGTAACATTTCATAACAAAATGATTTTTTTATGGTAGGAAGTGTTAGCCCCACACTCAGCCTCAAAGCTGGAGGACCATCCATTGTCAGCTGTTCATGACTGCTTTTTCAATATATTTTCAGCTATCCACAGTATCAGGAGGACGTGTCATTTCATGGTGACAAGGGACGCACTAAACATTAAGTAACATAACGTAACATGACGTGACAGCATGACTTTAAGAGGATGGAGTGGTATGGGCTGGATTAATCAGGTTCCATACAATTTGGGGAAATTTTTGGGTAGCTGAGTGGTGGCTTTACAAGAAGGATTCAGCTCCATGGAGTTAGTTAGCTACTTAATAATCTTTTTTTCAAATAGAAACCAAGGTTTGTATGCCATGTAGTCTGGTAGAAGCTTCTTGCTTGTTTCTTCCTTGGCATACTTTACAACCCCAAAGGTGGAGGCAGTACATCTCAGAAGATAGTACTCTTCATAGTGACTGCTGTGAGAGATAGTACTCTTCATAATGACTGTTGTGAGAGAGAGTACTCTTCATAGTGACTGCTGTGAGATATAGTACTCTTCCTAGTGACTGCTGTGAGAATTTTTAATCCAGCAATGTTGTTTCTGTTTGTGTCCATTTTGTATGATGCACGCAGTACTGTGTGGATGATTCTCTGTGCTTTGTAACAGTTTTGTTGGACATTCGCCACTTTCTGAGTTATTTTGCAGATATGGCACTCAGCAATATTCAGATGATTAGTTATTATTTTATATGCTGAAAGATATATAGGTATGTGTATATTTTTTTATTTTTCAGAGGCAACAGTCTGGTTCACACCTGAAATATCTGTCATAATAAACTTACACGCAAGCCACTGTTATTCAGAACACCCTAAACATTTGCACCGCAAACAGCACGCATGACCAACGTAATCGTGGTATAATAGTACTGGGCCAATACAGACAACTAATTGGCTCAGTTTCATTAATATGAAGATGGAAACAAAGTCAGCTCAGCTCAGCTCAGCCAACCCACTCTTGTGTTTGTGTGTGCTGAGTGGATGAGCCTTTGAATTTATCCATTAACGTAAAGGACTCTGTTAGAATCTGTAAACAATCAATTGCCTGCAGTTAATAGTTTCTGAGAAAATGTTCCTTATATTTAAGTAACTTAGCATTGTAAGGGTGTGAGGTTCCAGGTCCCTAAAATACTGTTTCTTGCTCTGTTGGTTTCTTTGCAAATGTGAAGCAATAAATTTGAACAGCAAATGATAGGTTGTGTGCACATTATATAAGGGACACCATTTTACATGCCCTGTGTGTTGTGTGATTATCAGTAGGCTGGCAGGGAGCATTTACAGGGGTGTGAGTAAGCATAGTTTGTCTTGTGGAGATATGTCTGAGCAAAGGGAATTATCTGGTGAACTGAGTCAACATTTATTGACCCATGTTGATCATTATAAATCCATTCTTGTTGCAGAATGAATCTGTTTTTTCTATCCCACCTGAATCAAGGTATTTATAAAATTTGTGCACCTGTAATATTAGTTCCTGCAGCTGCTAAATACAGGAACAAGGTTGGGTTATACAGTGAGATATGTCAGCATCTGTATCTGTAATAGATCTGATTCTGAAAGTATGATCTTGTGCTTGGGACAGCATCTTGGAGCTCCAGCTTGTTGGAAAATGTAAGAAGAAACTAGAATGATATGGGGATATTGAATTATAAGAATGAAGTGTAATAAGAGATTATAATGTGCCAATATTTTCATTATTAAAGTATACAAATGTTATATTGTTCAAAACTTTAAAAGATTTATAGTTTTAGTAATAAGGAAATAGAGTAGCTTAGTACAGGCATACCCTGCATTATGTCATCTTAGGTTTCAGACTGATGCCATAACTCAAAAATGTCCACAAGTCAAAGCACTGCCTTACTTCTTATAAACACTTTAATAGTCAATCACAGAGTGTAACACACAAACACAAAGAGATGCAAAGCGAACCATATTGGTAAACAAACTGACAACAGCAACACCAGTAGTTGGAAGCTGATTGGGCAGTACTGTCATGCCACTAAAGATCCATAACTCAGTAAGTTGAAGAGCCATAACTCAGGGTATGCCTGTATATGGAGGCAAAAGAGAAAGTCTTAATATTTACCAGGGTAGTGAGAGAATTGCATTGCCCATGGTAATTTATTTAAAACTGCCTGTTTTGTTTATAAGAATTTACAGTTCTAGTAGTGATGTTTAAAGACAAGATGATACAGAAATTGAATATAAATTACACATGTGGTATGCATAACATAATTTTTGTCAGTCATGATTGTTTTACGCTTACCTGTTTGTGCATATAAATGTGTCAATAAACCACCAGGTTTTGGCCATGGAATTATTAAAATGTACTTGCTTTCTTAAATAATAATGTATGAAGGCATCTGAGATGTTGCAGTGATCTGGGGAGCTCTCTTACTTCATATTCAGATAGTTCAACGATCAAACCTTATCCTAGAAACACCTGTCCCATCTAAGGTCTTCATGGTTTTCCTTAATCTCTCCAGGCAACTATGAGTACTGTCTTAAAAGTAAACAATGACATGTCATTTCCGATTTGTCCATAATCCTATTTTTGAATGCTACGTGACATTTGCAATTAGTAAAATTGGTAACTGAATGAAATAATGAAGGCATCTAAATTTAGAGTTAAATAAGATGGTGGAGTTTGTGTATGCAAGATGCTTGATAATTCCACCGTGCAAGGGGGCAGCTCAAACTAAAATTTATTACTTTGCTATTGTGAACCTAGGACAATCTCAGATGGCAATCAGGAGAGCTCAGGGGATGGTAATGATTCATTTCCTGTCCAATTTTTGCCAAACGTTCCTCCTGGTGAGACCCTGCCTCACATTGGAGTACCAGTCACTTGAACTTCCAGTCTGCTGGACCACTCATCTTGTGGGTTGTCATAGTCACCTCATTGGGAACCAGACATGTGGCCGCTTACATCATAAGTAATCACACTACTAACTGAACTACAGCTAATAACCTAACAAGTGTACCTCCATTTCTGAATCTTATGGAGAAAGTACTGAGCATGGAAAAAATATTATGTATCACAAGGTAATAGTAATGTCAACCTAACGTTTTGACCAGGAAGTCAGTGGAGGATCTGCTACCATACTGCAAGACTGAATCCGAGTCAGAGGGTTTGAATCAGTCAGGTCTGCTTATTAGCGCACACCAAAAAAAAAAACTCTTTGCTCTGTAGTATGCAAGCAAACTATACCGATCGAGCAACCGCTGCTTGTCAGAGAAGTTAGTGCCAACTTTTGCCGATAGAGGATGTCGTGTGGTCAGCGCAATGGATTCCCACAGCCGTTAGTCTCGGTTTTCTATACAGGAGCCACTATTTCCTAGAAATAGCACCTCAACTTCATGAGGCAAAGTGGACCCAGTTGCAGACTTCAGATACTTGCTCATCTGCAAATAATATTGATTTAATAAATCTATTATTTCCCAGGTATACGCTTTGGTTTTTCATTTTCCATTCCTCTAGAATTTAATTCAAACAATGGCGGGAAGAGTCCAGACCCTTGCCTCTATAAACTGCTTAGGTTTCTCCCACATCAATATTGTGTTCCATTTTGATCATAATGGTTGTGTTATCATAGAGGCAGTTACATGTAGGAATGTAGAACAGAATTAAATTTTATACCAGAAATGAAGTTGCAACACAAATGAACAGATTTCGTGTTTCTATGCTTGTAAATTGTACAAGGCAGAGTGAGATAACATGCAGGCCATTGAGGTTATCGTTTATTCATGGAGAAGGAAAACAGGGTCTAAAGTTCAGTCTCAGAGAATGTATTTACTTGTTCACAGTTGTATGACAGTTGGTGCCAGCATTTTAGAAAGGGCAAATAAAAGCGCACATAAAATGTGGTCTAGGTGAAGGGTCCAAAGGTCACATTTGACATATGAAGGCTGACACAGAATTTCATTAATAAGAGTTTTGACTCCATTTAAATGAAGTGAACACAGTGCAGATATAAGGTTAAGATTGCTCAGGTGCTGATGGCATTTAGAGAAGTTACATACAGATGCCAGAATGCTTAGTATTACTATTGTCTCTGTGATGTTTTTCTTAAAGAAAGTTATTAGTCGTTAGGGTTTCTAGCATATTCAAAAATTTCAGTTGTATGGAATATATTTGTTTCAGGAAATTGTGTTCATTCTACAAAGGTGTGCAGAATTTACGTCACATTAAGTCATATACAGTCAGTTAATCCCGTTGTTCACCACATATATAGCCTCTGTTCATTTTTTATGAGAAGAAATGTCTTCTGTCACTATTTGTTTAATTCGTATTCGACCATGGCATCATGCAGTACTTCAGTGCTATACATACGGTTTGTAGTTCAAGTTGCTGCTTTGTGCATTTTATTCCCAGACATAGAGGTTGTTATGAACTGATAGTGATATGCTTGGATGTTCTTCAAATACTGCGCAGTGAAGTATCATAAGGTTATGGTCTCCTGTGTTGTAACACTATGTAGTCTTACCAGTGCTTCAGAGAAACATACTGTTCTTCCTAAACCCTGGTATCCACCATAACCTGAACACACACTCCTGTGAAAATCTCAAATATTCTGTAAGTAGAATCACACTTAAGACTGATGAAAGGAATGAATACTATACTGATCCATCAACTTAGCGGTATACAGTCTTTTTGAAAATGTCATAATCATTCATCTATAAGGTAAAACTATCCCTGTAACGGGCTGTGAAGGCCCATAGAGTTGTGAGACGGCGGTAAGTTTGTCAGCCTTACACGCTGGCTGCCCTTTACCCCCTCCCCCCCCAAGGAAGATTCCAGGTGAGGCTCAGTCAACCCCAGGGGGGCCGTAGTGCAACTGGCAGGATTAGGTCAATCAAAAAAATCCACCTCATTGGGATTTGAACCTGTGACCTTCCAGCTTGTAGCAGTGCCTCAAGCAACTATGCTACCATGTGCCCCCCATAGTTATTCATCTGGTCATATTAAACTCAAAGCTTCATATTTTTGTTAATATAAATCTACCATTGGTACCTGTCCACATCCAACCCTTTAAACTATATTTCTCTTAAGATTTTTTTTTAATATTATCCTTCTAGGTATGAAGGAAATGAGGAATTTATGCAAAATTTTTGTTGGGAAACCTCAAGAAAAGAAATACTTATGATACCTAGAAGTATAGGGGGACAAACTTGCTCACATCCATGACATTCTTTAAGTCATACATGTCCCCTGGGTAGTGCATTGGAAACCAACCAACCAACCTAGGAGTATAATATTATGACATGTTAATGATTAGGCATGGATTTTGGATTGATAACTGGATTTGCTGAATGATTATAGGCTGTAATTATAAATAACTTAACAGTCTCACTGATTTACACACTCCATAGATCACTACAACTACATTACACAGTCATCTGTTTGTTCGCTAGTTGTTACTGGATAATGGCTGCTAATGGTGCAACTCAGGACCAACTGATTCACTGACTGCTAAATTGCTGTTGGTCCTTGCCAGCACAGTGGATCTTGGATTTGAGTCACACAGGACTCATGACCATATATTATTTTCTTATGACTGGGAGCCACTGACAGGTCAGTCAGTTAAATTGCTGCTGGTCCTCACCAGCACAGTAAATCTTGATTTTGGGACTGATGACCATTTTTTTGTTCTTTCCAAGATTTTTACATATTTTGAAATTGGGCCTCCCCTTTAATGAAAGGAGGGGTCTGACTACTCCTAACACACCCCCTCTAGTGGAGGTGACTCGAGCAGCTGCTGCTGGTCTTCATTATATAGCCTTGGCTTGGCCCGTATAAAAGACACCGCTTCCAGCAGTTCCCCTATTGTGTGTTTATTCATTGCTGCGGAAATGTGTTTGCCACTCATTACTTAGCAATGGCTGCTTATTTTTCCACTGTTTCAGGTTTCATCTGTCAAGTCACAATATCTAAACAGATTTTAGAGGATAGAGACCAATGATATGCTTATATTAACATAAACATGAATGCTTTATCTAGTTAGGAGACACCCCCAAGCCATCAAAAAAAATATGACTGCAGCTGAGGCCCAAGGAAAGGAGAACAGGCTTTTCAGATTGTGGTTTTCTGGGTTGTGGCCCCATCCAGTCCTTTAACAGAGACCATATCCCAGGGGAACATGCTGCCTCCATCTTCACAAGTGCGTGGGTGAGAAATTGGCTTGGTTGTACAGACAGATTGCAAGGACATGCTCACTCAGGCCAGTGTGTGGGGTAATGAAATGGAGTTCAGTCCAGGCCAATGGGAATGGTAGGTTCAGTGGCACCATATGATTCTCATTACAGGAAGAAAATAGAATTGTGAGAAAAGACAGTTATTTTCAGGGCCACAATATTGTTTTATGTCACTCTTTTTCAAGCATTTGGAGGAACGGTGTTTTATAACAGCTAAATGACAGGCGATAATGTTACATTCTTGTATGCAGTGGGAAGAAATTGATCGAATCTTTGCTGCATGATATTACTTGGTTATTTGTCTTACAAGTGTTAACGTTATATATAATTTTGCATTTTTAACAGTAATTGCATACAATGAGTAAAAATAACGTGCAGATGCACACACTTGTGAAGTGGGAGCTATATTAGCAGGGAATTCTGTATGCTAATAAATCTTAGGAAAATATACAATTTTTGTAGACTGTAAAAGAATACATCGAAACAATAAAGAAATCTGGTTTGTCTAGGTTATTTTTGTATGGCCATCTGCACACCTTACTAGCCCATGAGTTAAATTGAACTTTGTTACTGGATCATATATTTACATTTTCGAAATAGGACATTAACGACATAAGATTTGTTGGACTGAAAGTCTATAATAGGCAAGTATACTTGCGAGTTATTCAGAACTTCCTGTTTCTTCAAGCATATTATGAAGGATTTAAGTTTCTTCATCTGTGTGAAGTATTTAATACTACACGGTGTTTGCATCCTTTGCCTAGGCACATACCACAGAGCACTAGGACAATCAACTTCTTCCTGTTTTCAAGTTACAAGACGACACATGTCTATTTCACCTCTGATAAATGATCCAAAGTACTCGTTCTTGAGGAATGAATTGGATCTTAAAGAGGAGAACAATGGAGTGTTTGATGGCACATGGTTTGGAAATGGCGATGTAAGTATTGCAGGAGAATGGAAGGTATATTGTAATAAAAGCACGAGTAAAGGAAAACATGGCCTAACATTAAAATAAATTAAAAATGGTGTTCCACAGGGTTCAATTCTTGAATGGATATTATTTTTATTTTTCATAAATTAGCTGTCAATAAATGCGAGTATCAAAGAGAAGAAGAGAAGTTTATTTGCATATGATAGAAACATTTTAGTAGCAACAGAAAATGGACAGATTCTACAGCAGAAAATAAATAGGGTTATGAATGATTTGTGCTCATGGTTTTGTGCAAATCCGTATTAAATACTGAGAAAATAATAGTATGTAATTCCATACTAGGCAAGAAAGATATTCAGTGAAACTTCAAGTAAAATTTGTCAATTTGGATATTGCCTTTAAACCAGAAGCTAAGTTCTTATGCTTAAACATTAATTAATATAGAAATTGGATGCGCATTAAGCTATAAACTCTGAAAAATGTTGTTACATGATTAAATCTCTCAAGGATGTAATGAGCCCATGAGTTGTAAGGAGTATTTATTTTCCATATTTTCATGATCATTTGAGGTGCGGTTTAATTTTCTTGAGTGCCTACTTAAAAAGTAGAAGTAGTTCCAATTATAGCCCTGACAAAAACATATGAACATGGGCTATGTTGTATATAATACAGCACTATATTTGAAGACCCGAATAAAGTATGAGGGTCATAGTGAAAGTCATGAGCAACAAGTTTTTGTAAAGTAACATGCTTTATTATTGACAAACCAAATACACCACCTCAATCTACAGACCTTTCTTTATTTTTGTACATAATCACCACTTCTTTGTACCCATTTCTCCCAGCGTTCTGGGAGTTTGAAAATTCCCCTTCTGTAAAATTCCATTCCAGCTATTCAAAGACACTGAGGCACTGCTTTCTGAATTGCCTCCCTTGTCTCAAAACGTTGTCCATGCAGCTGATCCTTCACAAATCCGAAAATATGATAGTTGGAGGGTGCCAGATCAGGGCTATAGAGGGGTGTGGAAGAACTTCCCACCCCATCTTTGCAATTGCTTCCAATGTGAGGCGAGTGGCGTGGGAGCGAGCATTGTCATGCAATATGATGGTGTTTCATCCCGGACGTTTATTGCGCAATGCATGACGGAGCTTGTGCAGCGTCTGGACATAACGAGCAGCATTAATGGTTTGCCCAGGTTCAAGGAATTCGGCCAGAATAAACCCCTCTGCATCCCAGAAGACTGTGCCCATCACCTTTGCAGCTTCTTTTTTGATGGAGAATGCAAATGGTGCCATTCCATACTCTGCCATTTTATTTCAGGCTCGAAATGGTGAAACCAGCTTTCGTCACCTGTCACAATACAGAGCAAAAAATCGTCGCCTTTGTGTCGATATCTCTGCAGCAGTTCTGAGGTGATGGCTTTTCGCTGACCTTTGTGGTCTTCGGTCAATAACCGCGGGACCCAACAAGCACAAACTTTCCTATAGCCCAAGCTTTCAATCATCTCCTGTACTGCACTGTGCCCTATTCCAAGTTTTCAGGCTATTGTGTCCACACTCACACGCCTGTCATCTTCAGTGATCTCATCCACTCTTTCTTTGTTGCGTTCAGTTGAGGCTGTTCGAGGATGACCGCTCTGAGGCTCTTCTTCGATGATGCTGGTGTTCCCATCTTTAAAATGTTTCACCATTCTTCGAACACTGCTTGCACCCATGCACACACTTCCATAAGCACACTGAAGAGTCTGGTGAATTTCTGCAGCAGGGATTTCCTCTTTCACAAGAAATTCGATGACAGCACGCTGGCGAAATGACATATCGTTGTTGGCCATTTTATTAGGAGTGATACTGGTCACATGATGCAAGCTCTTGACATCACAAGACACTCAAGGTTAACACAACAGCTGGTTCCACCTACCACCATACTCTCTTTCGTCTGCTGTTCCCAGGTTGCATGCAAAAGATAGTTGCTCATGACTTTTGGTACGACCTGCGTAGTAGGTTTGTCTTGTTAAAAATAATTAATGTTGAATATAAAGTTGCCTCTTCAAAAATTACAGCTTCAGTCCTCAGCTGTCCCAGCATTTGGACAGGAGTCAGAGGAAGAATGTGAACTTACAGTTTACCTGATCTAGAGTTCTATGTTTGCCATGCTTGGAATGTTTGATGAATTTATTTATATCATCATCCATACAGGTCAAGTAACCCAGTTTGCCTCAGGCAATAAGCTTTTGACTTTTATTCGGGAAGTGTGCAGTTTGTATCTCTGCCAGGACACAGACTATGCTGAATGAGTTCCTTGTAATTTTCCCCACTTCCTCCAGGCAACAGTGCTGAGATAATGCCTTGAAATTGACCCTGACCACTTTATTCTAAATCATTTTGAAACTGTTGTTCATTAATCATCCTGTCATTCAATGCTATGAAACTAGAGCTACTGACATCATCACTAAATAAACCATAAATAAGTAACACTGATGAGACATATTTAAAATCAAAATTGCAAAATTTGTTGAAAGGTACGTAAAGGAGAAAACACTGAAAAATGTAAGTGAAAGAACATAAGGATGTAGGGAAAAAGTCATTAAAAAGTGAAAGTGTAAATGAAAGAAACGTTACTTGAAGCTGGAATCTGATCAGTGGAATTTAGGTAGAATTGTCTAGTCAGTGGCAGGAACTTGGAGGATCAAGAAGATGATGTGAAATAACTGACTGGTAGAATAACCATCTGACAGAAGAAATAAAGAGAAATAATGGTGCAGAGAAGCTATGGTTCCAAAGCAGAACATGAGTAAAGATTTAAAGGGGCAGAAGGAAAACATGCTATGCCAGAATGAATTATATCCTATTTCAAATGTCTTACAGGTAATAACATCAGTGTGCCCAGCCAATGGTCATGAAATTGCAAAGGTACGTGCTGGCAATATTTCTGACTACAATCGTTGTGTGGAGGCTGCACAACAGGCGTGGTGCTCATGGGCTGATCTCCCTGCACCAAGGAGAGGAGAGATTGTGAGGCAGATAGGAGATGCTCTGCGGTCGAAGCTTGAGCCTCTAGGAAAATTAGTCTCCCTTGAAATGGGTAAGCTACACATCTACCTGTACACAGAGTCAAACCTCACATGGCAGAATCTGCAAGTGTAGTGATGTCTTCTCAAGCAATAGGCTCAGTCAGTATGGGCCAGTGTCCAACATCTTGGAATCTGTCTATCTTGATCATTAGGGGTTAAGTAGTAGTAGTAGTAGTATCTAAGGCCCAGGCACTTAGAGGAATTCCATTCGCCTTTTAGCATCCCAATACATTTTCACAGTATTATTCTCAGTAATTAGAGCAGTGCACTTCTTAAGATGGATCTTATTCATCAAAGTGCCTGTACTATATAGCAGTCATACACAGACCCATAACTCACCAGGGTCATTTGTGTGATCTACTGAAACTACATAGCATGTGACATTTTAGTAAATGCATGTATATTATGCATTCAAACAATCTTTCTGTGGGATTGTTTCCACCTGAAAAACCTTTGGCTCATCAGTGCTACCTTGTTGTGTTTCATGCACTCTTCACACCAAACAATTGCTACTTGGAGACCAGAGCAGGTAAAAACTTCATTGTTTTGTTGAATTTTTGTTGAAATGAAAAGAGACACTCTAGCTTTAGATACTTCAGATAAAATCACACACGACAGTATTCATGACATGATTACTTTTACTTCTGATTTTAAGGTAAGATTCAAACAGAAGGTGTTGGGGAAGTGCAGGAATATGTGGATGTTTGTGACTTTGCTTGTGGGCTCTCCCGCACTTTGAAAGGCCAGTTATTGCCTTCAGAAAGGCCTGGACATGTCCTTTTGGAAAACTGGAACTCACTTGGTGTTATTGGTGTCATCTCTGCATTCAACTTTCCAATTGCTGTTTATGGCTGGAATAGTGCCATTGCTATGGTATGTGGCATTTCCTTATAACACTGTTTTATGAGCCTATATTTTGAGTCATTCTGCAAGAAAAATGCAAATGAAAGTCCCTTTTTACAGGTTTCTGTCCCAGATACCTTAAATATCCTGGGAGTTACACAGAATAGTTTTTCATACCCACTGGATGCAAAAAATAATTTTGCAGAATCCTCAGGACTTTTAAATAATCTTTGGAATGAATGTTTAAAAAAGAACGTCAAGAGACAACTGTTTTCAGAATATCAAATTCTTCAGGTGTGTGGAAACAGTGTGCTGTGGAAAGGTGCACCCTCAACTCCACTGGTATCAGTAGCAACTACAAAAGTTGTGTCAGGTGTCCTGGAGGCAAATGGAATTCCTGGTGCAGTGTGCTGTCTCTGTTCTGGTGGCAGTGACATTGGGGAGACCATGGCCCGTGACACCAGACTTCCTCTTCTGTCCTTCACTGGAAGCACGCAGGTTGGGCACCAGGTCAGTCTATGCAGACATCAGCATACAAGATGTGCAGTCGCAAAATTCATGCTCATATTCTTCAAACTTTTAACTTGCAAGGTGTCACTTCTGGATGAAAAAGTTAGTGCTTTGAAATGAACAGCAGAAGACTCAGCACATTGTAGTCTACCTGCACCTAGCAGAGCAGTTTGGTCATAACTGTTACTATTCCAGAAACCAATTAATCACAGTACAAGACCTTGTCAACACAATGCTTACAACCTCCGAAGTCCAGAAACACGCTAGATTAAAAATTTAGTAACACTAGCTTTACCAACATTTTTACATGGGAGTGGAAATAGGAGAGCAGTAACAAAGCAGAATAGCTGCTGTTGAAATGAAATTTATTAGGCATATTGTGAAATACTATTCATTGGACTCATGTCAGAAATGAGGAAAGAAAGAATAATTAAGCCCTTTTGCCTGGGGATGCCTTCAAAATAAATCCTGCCACCAGTGAACTGTAATGTAATTTTTTTTTAATGTTAGTGGGGTGGGACTAAGTCCCTTGTACTGCGGCCACTTCTGGCCTATTGTACCAGCCCCAGATGATAGGTGAGGGTGATTGTGGAGCAATTGGTGGAATGAAGATTGGCAGGGGAAACTGAAGTACTCAGTTCAACCCCAACACCCCAACACCACTTTGTCTACCACAAATCCCACTTGACCAGACCTCGGATCAAACCTGGGCCGCCGCGGTGGGAAGCAAGCGACTAACCGCTTGAGCTATGGTGCGGCCCTGAACTGGAATGTAAGTCATAAATGTCAGAATTCATACTTCCTTACACATGATCAGAAGTCATAACTAACTCTGTGCTATAGGATTTTCATTGAAAAATGTATACTTAGTCAAGATATTCCATGAAGAATACGTTCTTCTGGGTTGTAATGGCGTGTGTTTCGAACAACTGCACCAACAATAGTAGCCCAGAAGACAGTACTCTTCACAATCATCACTGTAAGAACCTCAACTCCAACAGAATATTTCATGCTTTGAAGTAAGTCAAAAGTGCATTACCTTCTTTCACAGAATCCCACCTCTTCACACCCTACCTAAGATCCTCTTCCATGAGGTTTCACAATCAAACTTATGTGTGCATTTCTCATTTTCCCCATGCACACTACACATTCTTCCCAGTTAACCATCATTCATACACCATCCCAGCACTATTACATGAAATATTTTGCAATAGATTTTATCAACACATCGCCAGGCACACTTCTGTAAGCACAGTCCAACAGGCAACAGTAGATGAGATTGTGTTTTCTCTGTTGCCCTTGCTGAGCAGCGGTGGAACAACGGGGTTATGCAACCCGCTTCTAGGCAATGGCTCGGTAAACACATTTCTGCATATTGGACCGTGCTATGAAAGTGGTGATGTCATCACCAATAGAGATGGTGTTTTCCATGGGGTCTGTGCAGAGTGCTTATGAGATAAGTGAATACAAAAGCAAGTTCATTTCAGGGTAGTTACAAGTCAGTTGTAAGCTGGAGGAGTGAGTCCAGAATTATTTTTAGTTCTAATGTTCCAGAGTGATTGATGACAAAATAGCAAGAAGACTTCACTGAGAATCCTAGTGCGTGTTAAATGGTGGACTGGAAAGTGTGTAAATCGATGATAGCTCTGTATTAATGGTAATTAACCAAAGTGCTAATAAATCCAATCATCTGATCTATAACCCGTTATTTTTGCCATGCTTACCACCCTGCACGTGACAATATAAAGCATGAAGTTCTTCAGTATGTAATTTTTTCCATCAAGCCGTTACTCTCTCTCTATTTCCTTCTTATCAGCAGTACTTTCATTGCTCATGTCATCACTTAAACTGTACATGTATTCTGCAGGTTGGTATGTTGGTTCAAGAGCGGTTTGGACGTCACCTGCTTGAACTTGGTGGCAATAATGCTCTAATTGTGCACCATGATGCTGATCTGGATATGATGGTGAGAGCTGCTGTGTTTGCATGTGTGGGGACAGCCGGTCAGCGCTGCACAACTACTAGACGACTCATTCTGCACACCAAGGTATGGCATCTTCTGACTCTGACTCTTCCTTTCATTAACCTTTTTAACCACCAACAAATGCTTAAAAAATTCTTTGTATGGATTTGTTATGTAGCTAGACCTTACATGCCTTTAAAAACTGATTATATCATTTGATAAATTAATATAGCCAACTGATATTCTCTGTTTCATTTCAGTAATCTAGCTGGAGAGAAGAGATATTATTGCAGGAACTTTTTAAAATTGTTTGTAAAGAAGAAGACAAGAATTTTGTTTATTGAATGGATATTTAACTGTAGTAAGGTTAAGTGTGCCGGTCATGGTAGCCGAGCGGTCTAAGGCACGTACTCTCTTCGCTCGCTTGGAAACCAGGATCATGGGTTCGAATCCCACTCAGGGCATGGATGTTTAGTTTGTGTGTGTGCGTTTTTCTGTGTTTGTGTACAGGCAGAGGCCTTGTGAGGAGCTGATCACCCACCCAAGGAGTCCTACCGAATGTGTAAGATCTAGAAAAACCGAAGTGAATGGAGAAGTTCATGGAGGTAGGCCTAGACCCACTGGGGCTGTAGTGCCAAGAAAGGAAAAAAAAAAAAAAAGGTTAAGTGTAATGTTGGAAGTCAAGTTAAATGACATTAAACGTAAAGGTTACCAGCAGTATTTTAAAATAAAATTAATTTGCTAGATAATAATTATTTAATGATTCTGAATAGCTTGCATAGTATAGTTGCTAACTTCAGTTTGGATCTCTGGGACTTCTATCCCCAGGAAGGGCATGGGCTATTTTCTTTACTGCCACATCCAGACTGGCCATGGTCCGTATCTAGCCTCATGTGTAATGAGTACCCAGAACCTTTCCTCTGAAAGTAAAGCAGCCAGAACTTGAAACTGTCCACCCACCTCCACCTATTGCCATGATCTAGAGCGAATGTAGCTTTACCGCTGTAGTCCCATATACCCCAGTAATTGGTGTTAAAGCATTGTGGAAACATTACTGTTAATAATTAAATTTAAAAATTATATCTTTCCAAATTCTATTCCCTACCACATCAAGAAACTTCATCACTGTTTCAGTTGATGACAGCAGCAATAATAGTGAAATAAAAAGGACCTACTGTTTGATCTTGTTCTTACAGGTTTATAATCAGGTGCTGACACGTCTTAAGGCAGCTTATACACAAGTGCTGTTGCGTGTAGGTGATCCTCTAGATAAAAGGACTCTCATTGGCCCTCTACACAGTGCTGCTGCTGTCAGGAACTATCAGGATGCAATATCTGAAGCAGTGGAGGCTGGAGGAACCGTTGAATTTGGAGGGAAAGTAAGCTACTTTTCTGCACAGAGTGCACAAAATGATTTCATAATGAGGAGGTTGTATCTGTCTGTCCCCATGTTTCATGTTGAAACCACCCATCAGACATTGATGAAGCTATCATTTGGGATCCATACTGAATGTCATGGGGCAAAATTTATTGGTAATATTGGTCCACAGCAATACAGTGTCATCCACAATTTATGTGAAGCTCAATCAAAACTTTATCACTTTCACCAAAAATAATTTATTTTAAAAGATGCTGATAACAATAAATATAACTCCCATTAAGATCTACAAATTTACGAGTAATTTTAAATGAATTTCAATAATATATGTAAATAAAAAAGTATAAGGAAAAATAGCATATGACTTCATGTAATTTTTAATTTGTGACAGTAAATTTTATTTGTGATAGATGAGTATCAAGTAAATATGATATGAAAAATTTGAAGAATCACGTTTATAAAATATGCACATTGCTAATTGAAGTTCCATCTGACAGCTGACAGCCCATATAATACTGTCATATTTTGTAGGTGATCCAGAGACCTGGCTTCTTTGTTGAGCCAACTATTGTGACAGGCTTGCCTCATAATGCAAGTGTTGTGCATAAAGAGACATTTGCTCCAATTGTTTATGTGCTGAAGGCAGAGAGTTTGGATCAGGCCATTATGTGGAACAATGAGGTACATCAGGGACTCTCGTCCAGCCTCTTTACTGCCAGTCTGGACTCCATATTCAAGGTAGATCAACATTAGAACAAGCATATTTTTTTATTTTATAAACTCTCGTAACATCAAGGTTGCACTGTATTTAAATTCTCCATGATGTGAAATGACATATTATGCTTTGTATTTATGTAGCTGGCCGTACCATCTCTTTGGTAATGTCATAGTTATTTTAAGAATTCTTAATAGAAACTGCGTGCATTCTGAAGGTCTTCTAAAAATTAAACCCAAAACCATTTGCAGGGCATGTAGATATAATGGCACCGCTGTAGACTCAGATTTCATCACTACCCGATTCAGATCTTAGGTTTCAGACTGTCATGAAGTTTTCATTGTTTTTCTTGGTCCCTTCAGATGAATTCTGGGCTAGGACTTTCAAATAAGACATGACTGTCTCCTTCCAGATTATAATCCAGTCACAAGTCATGATCAGCTTACCATCTGGTACAGGGCATGTTAAGCAGGTGAAACAGCACTGTTACAGGACCCAAGTACCAATCAAGAACTAATAGGCAGTGCTCTCTAAATCTTAAACACATTGTTCATTTCAGTGGATTGGATCAAAGGGCTCTGACTAGTAGGAAGTGCTTTCTGTGTTTTAAACGCTTTTATTTCAGTGGATTGGACCAAATGGCTTTGACTAGTAGGCAGTGCTTTGTTCTTTTCTGTGGATTGGACCAAAGAGCTTTGACTAGTAGGCAGTGCTTTGTGTCTTAAACAGTTTGTTCATTTCAGTGGATTGGACCAAAGGGCTCTGACTGTGGCATTGTGAATGTGAATATCCCGACCAGTGGAGCAGAAATAGGAGGGGCTTTTGGTGGGGAGAAACACACAGGAGGTGGACGTGAGTCTGGGAGTGATTCCTGGAAGCAATACATGAGACGTTCTACTGTCACTATCAACTATAGCAAAGAACTACCTCTGGCACAAGGAATTCGATTTGAATAATCAGTTCCAACACTAAAATTTCATTTGACATTTCTTTGGTCTCTTAATTACATTTCAGTTTGGCTGATACAATTTCTCATCTTATTGGCTAAAATACCACAGGATGCCACTGAATTATTTCACAGCTGCCTAAAATACATCATTAATGTAAGACACTGACTGTATGTTGAGGCTGCGAGAATGTGATTTTGTGTTCTCACAGAAACATGGCTGGTCCCAGATTTAGTGGACATTTTTTTTCTAGTCCCAGCTGAAGCCCAATTTAAACTGCATAATATGAGTGTGTTCCCCTATTGAATTAATATTAATTTAATAAATAGCCGAAATTTAATGTAAGAAATTCTTGAGTTCTGAAACTACTGCTTTAATTGTTGTTAGTGTGGCTGAAACAAAGTTGAGTTTCATGTTTGGGCCTGGACAAATTACTATTTCAGAAAAATATTTGCTGTACACAGTGATGCTGATAAGTGGAATATACTTGGAAAGATGTGCATTTCTCGCTTATAACAATCATGGATTTTAGTAAAATCTGTTGGAGGAAGCAGTTACTGTTCGTTGCCTTCAGCTCTTGCATTTCCCCAAATACCACGCGTTCCTTTTCACCTTCAGATGCCTCCTAGAAGTCTGACAGTGCACTATTATATTTGTGTGGCACAAAAATTTACACATGTATGAAAGATTTACAAAAAAGAAATGCTTAATACCTTGGTAATTTTTTACTATATGCAGAAACTAATCAAATGCTTTTATACAAGGGTATTGTATAACAAATTAAGGTCTTGAATTTAACACTTCAAGATAGGAATGAACATTCCCTTCAAGAGTGCATTAAAATTTGAAAAATATAGTGTTGTATTATGTTCAGCTAAAAGAAAATCAGTGAAATCTCTTCAGTCTATCAGCTGTGTCTGTTGGTTACAAATGATTCATGTTTCAGGGACCATCTCTGTACCCATCATTAGGCGGTGATGTTTCAATGAAAGCAAACTGTCCCACCTGTATACCAACCAGCAGTCTGTGTTCATATGTCACATCAGATTCTGATGATAGGGACAGATATATTCCCTGAAACATTAGTCACTTGGAACCAACTCCTTTGATAGTCCAAGAAGATGTTATTAAATTTAACAGCCATGAGAGCTTCAGATCTTGCATACATAAAATCAAATTCTTTGAAGTTGTTAGGGCACAAATAGCAATAAGCACAACAGAGGAGTATCAAGTTTACATGGATGGCACAGCAAGGAAGAGAAAAGGTATTTATGAAGTTTATATTTATATTAAATATGTTACATTACTCATCATATCTTATGGCCTTATTTCAATTACACTCTTAACAATTTTCCATTGGTATTTTGCTAAAAATTTATATTAGTGTATGTACAGAGTATTATAAATTTGAAGATATATATATTGTAACGTGTTTGCAATCCAGAAGAGTCACTGCTATGGAAACACTAGAATAGACCATTGCATAGGAAACAACAATTGCTCCATTGTAGTTCTAACAGGAGTCTCCATGGTTATAACAAAGGGTCCGTTGCCTAACAGCGGCCAAGGTTATAAAAGCCCAGTTTCGACGAGAAGTCTTCAGTCTTGGAGTAGCCAGCTAAGAAGCCAGTCGTGATCGAGCCATCATGGAAGTCAGTCTTGGGATAACCGCCAGAAGAGATAGTCCAGCGTCGCCGAGTTATTGTAAGCAGTGATTGTGACACTGCAGACGGGAATGATTGTAAAGTGTGTGTAAACGAGCGAAGGAATAAACTCGCTATGCCAAACGACGGCGTGACACACCTAACACGCTACAATATATATATTTGCCATCTTCAGAATACAATGCCAAATCTAAAACCAACTGAAGCAGAATGCAGCAGTAACTCGATGCAGTTCTTACCACTGCCACTTGAATAGAACTGGCTGGTACTGAAAAACATCAGGATGTCCAAGGTGAGGAAGATCTTTGTAATCTGATTTACTCCACTGAAAGGGTGGGAGGTAGGTGTTGTATGGAGGGCCAGCGATAGCAATGAACTGAAGTTTAGTAATAAGATCCGCTGTTGTCAGTTTCATGTCTGTTGCTGTGTGTGGTCGATGTCCCAATGCTGGAAATGGGTATGTACCATTGATTGGGTTCACATCGTTACGACAAGCGATAGCATTCTCTCCACTGTATGGGGGTGTACAGTTACACCGAGACAATGGATCATGTAAGTAGTCATTGTAACGCATTAATGCAATCATACTTGATGTGTCGTTCACCTTCACATGGTCTCGCTTGAATATAAGAGCACGTGGAGTCCGATCATAGGTGAACCTGCAAAATTATATTTCATTCTGAAAATCTAAGACAGTAAAATCATGTCATTACAAATGGGAACTTACTCTTGACATATGTGCTGGTAAGACTCTTACTACTATTACATGGTGTAAAATATATATCACCTACCTGGAAATTACTGTATTCGGGAATGTCATGCTCTGTAGTTTGGTAGACAGGTACCAATGTTTTGGAGGAACTTCCTGCCTCCATCTTCCAGGCATGTGCCCTGAAGATCATGGCAGCAGGTTCTTTCAAAATGTTGGTACCCAGTTACCAGCTAACATAAGTGTCAGATCCCAAAAGACAGTAATCTATGTATACACACTGCGAGAACTGCACATCTCACATACCAACTTCTTCTTTTACATATATTAATGAACAACTTTCCAAATTAATGTATTTCAAAATTAATACAGTTTCCAATATGCATAATCAGTTTTCACTAATAAAATCATGCCAAGACATGCATATATATGTTGCCATTAACTTGAATAGTACCACATTTCGTTTCTTGAACTCTTGTTCCATTTGTAATGTAATGTTATTTTGCTTAATACTGTACATTTTGAATTAAAATAAATGTAAATGTAAAATTGTCTCTGCACCATGCTGTTAAGTTATACAAGATACATGGAGGTAGAACTGTATGCATTATAGATCCCAGGCGTGATGCTTGTCTCCTAAGGAAAGATTGCATTGAATAAAAGGCTGGGCAGGTCCCAGAGCTGGTCTGAGTGTAAGAGTGAAAATAAAAATGTTCTGCCTTGGGGCAAGCTATTGATAAGTACCATCATAATGTACTTTGCTATACTTTCTGAGAGCCCTCAGTCTACTTTACCTATGCATGTTCATTCCATGATCATAGTTGCAATCTTTGGGTAACTTAGAAATATATTAGATTGCTCCATGTTTTTCCTTTGGCGTGAGACAATGATATATGCTCTTCACCCATTAAAGTATTGCACTAATAGGAGAAGGTTGGTTGTTGCAGCTGAAATGGCAGCTTCTAAAGTAGAAGAAAATTTTGAAGAAAAAACACGTGGTTCTGTATATACAATTAAATTTGTAATGGATGTTAACCTTCCTTTACCATTCTTTGCATGTAAGAGCAATATTTTTTTTTTCAGCCAGTACACTTGCTGACAAACAACTGATGCATGGCAGGAAACTTGTTAAAACTAACATGTGCTAGCATATTGTATGTTCGATCTTGAGGCTAAAACTGAGCATGAATATGGGCAAACACATTTCTAGAATAGATATGCTGTATATGGCTATTATGCTGTGACACTATCGCTGATTTTTGCCTTTAAATTGAGAGGAAGTTTCATTTTTCACTCCATGAACAGCTTTCAAAGAATGGAAACCTTTTGGAAAATACAGAGGTGGCACTTATTCTTCAGTTAGAGCCTGAAGGTCAAATTCTTGAATACTCACCAGTCTCCATACTTAGCTGCAAGTTCCCCTTGTCCACTGAGATTGTATATATCTGGAAAGTAATGACTGTTGTAACTTGGCCAATAAGACTGTTGTCTCAGGACTTCAGTCTTATCCTCAGCTCTGATATATCCTGGCAACTGTTCAAGGACCCACAATAGTTTGTCCTTAAGTAGACTCTGAGGTGTCCCTTTTTTGAAGCGCTTATAATCCACCACCATCCACTGATTGTTGTAAGTGCCACTGTTGTACAGACTGAATGTTTTGCTCCAACTCATTCCACAGTGCCCCAACCTGTTGGCCACCATTGTCCTCACCTGCTCCAGTACCTGCTCAGACAATCATCAACATCAGGACAGACATCCCCCTGCACTGACAGCAGGAAATCTAAGAAGCAGGCTTGAGTTATGAAGAGTTCTACCTTCTGGAATATAATACCATGCAGTCTGGTGACAGTTAATCAGCGCTTCAGAGGTACATATAACTTCCATCTTCAGGGCCAAAGAGTAAGTCAAGCAAGAAACCAGAATGGTGCTGGCCGTAGGCAGAACATAGAACTCCTCATACTCATTGCTGTGAGAATTCAAATTTAACATAGTCTTGGGCTATGTTAGTAGTCTATTGCATGTGCAGGGTTTTTCTTGAAAATATTCAGTTTAATTAGAAACCATCTGATACAACATGCAACATTCATGCTAGTAACACAATAGCCAACTTTACCATGTGACAGGTGTTTTGCCACAATGATTGCGGCACAAAAAATTTCTTATTATATCTTACCGCTGCCATCAAATTAATGTGCCTCCCGCCTTGCAGCCAGTTTATTGGTATGAAAGCGGGGGTGAGGCACCCAAATTTCTTATTCTTATTCCAACGCTGCCACCACCAAAATTTAGAAAATCCTACTTAACACCCACCAATTTTCTGTGCCCTGATAGGGGGTCAGTGACTGTTCTCACCCCCTACTGGATGTCCGTGGATATCTTTTAACCTGTGCGGTGGAAAACATGCTTGCACTAGGGGACCCACAAAAACTCAAGTACTCAAAACAACATTGAACCAGAACTGCTAACAATCTAACAATCAATCAAAGATCAAGTTCACACTCTGCAAACAGTAAACCAAGTTTCGTGTCCCAACAGTAAGTAATTTAACCGTCCCGCCTCAATGCCACAAGTTCAACATCTGTGGATAGCTTCTACTCCACCCAGTGACATAATTGTTACAAATACCCCAATAAACACTCAATATGTTAAAAAGAAAACAAATATACTTAAATCAGCAAGTACATATACAATCATAAGTTTCTACATCAACAATTCATTAACCAAAATTTATACACTAAAGTCACTGACCAGATTTCATCCTACCATTCTATTACCAAACCAAAATTCCTAATTAAAGTCAAAAATTGGGTATTCGTCCTTTGAATCCAAAAAATGACACTGAAAGACACTTTATACAATTCGACAGTGGCCGTTGTCTCCCACATTACCTTCATACCATTAAACTTTCTGTTATACATTTTGTAATATTCCATTACGCTAATGCACAGGCAACACATTACACTGGATGCTGCCAAATGCGACAAAGGGGCGAAATTTCTCCCAGTTATTCTCTACTTAATGCACAAGTTTCCTTCCTAATACATTTTAGCGACCTTCATCCTCCAGTATTATACCAAGGCTCCACAACAAATAATTTGCTTCTTAAGCATCACTCAATAACCAAAATTAATCTCTAACAAACCATAAACAAACTAAAATCATTGAACCAGAATTTACCTATTGAAAACATCAGTGGTTGACCACAGGCAAATTATTCACGCTTACAGAAGTGGCTGACAATGAGCACATCTGACGCCATTCCGTCTCCTTCCTGCCATACATCTGTGCAGAGTGACTCTTAAAATCAGAGCGTTCGCCACTCCTCCTATCCGAGCCCCTCAAAATTCAACATCATGAAAGGTTGCTCGTGCAAAACCCCTAAGGTCAGCAACTTGTGCAGTGGCAAGATTTGCTTCGTGTCGTCACTTGATTTGTCAGTAATTTCTATAAACTCTACAACTGACACTGGATGGCTAAAAATGTACGGCATCTCAACTCTGGCTTCCAGCGGGTTTCCAACTTGTGGTTCACCCAACGTATTTCAACTTATAAAACTTATAATTATTTTCTAATAAATAAAACATAAATTTGAACCCTTGTTGGATAAAGCATACCCATTAACAACCTGAGGCACAACACAGGACAGCAGTAGAAGAATAACATGCAAAATAAATGATAATACGAGAAGCCTTTAAACACACTTCAGACCAAGCAGATTGGTGCAGTGATAATGCCCTGGGCTTGAATGAGGGAAGTACTTAGTTTCAATCACAGCCAGGACTGCCTATCCTTGGAGATTCTTCGTGGTTTTTCCTGAGTCCCACCAGATAAATGCCAGGATAGCATATCAATTAGGCCAAAACTGCTTCCTCCTGAATCCTTACCAATTCATCAATCATCATACCATTCCACACTATGATGCTTTATATAATTTAGATTCTGACAGCATCATAATATAAGCCAAACACAAACCCACTTCAGATCATCAACAACCAGAGTAGAATGGGAGCAGATCAAAATAAGTTGAATATTTGGGTATTTGTACTCACCTGTCATAAAGTATTTGAGGTTATTATTTTAGACAGTGAAACTAAAATATTTAATACCTTTTTAAAGTTGGACAACACTGCTAAAAATGGTTGAATAATTGAAACATGTGGGGTGAATCAGTCATTTACTGTGCAAATCTGCAAGTTGCATCAGATGGTTTCTTATGAAACTAAAATGTGAACGATACAATAGTAAGAATGACATCATGAAGTGTTACTTGAACAGTTTGCGGTAGGCCACCTGGTCAAGAAATTCTCTGCTCTTCTGGAGCTGAAAGGTTCATTACTATATTTGTGACTACCCATCATTATACTGCATCCTCAGCTAATTAAATCCATGAAGCACATGCACGCATGCACATTTTTCCATATGCACTGTAACATTATCCTCCCATCTATATGCAGGTCTACAAAGTCATCTCATCCATTTAGGTTTCCTGAAGGAAATTTATGTTTTTCTCATCCCTCATGCATGTTACATGTCTCATTCATCTCACCCTCTTTGATGTACCTATCCTAATAATATCTTGCAAAGAGTGAAAATCATTTTTTCATTCATAAAACCCTAGTTATTTGCAGTGAGGGGCTGTTAGTCCCACTCTTATTCCCAAGCCAGAGATCCACACTTAACAACTGTCTACACTGCTTAGGAAGCATACAAGTATTTATACCTGCTCCCTATATCTGCATATTTCAACAAAACCTTATGTGCACAGTGATAGATCATATAAGATATTTCTCCACTGATGGGAATACAGACTCGTTCACACTGTCTAATAGCTTTTTATGTGATCTGTTAAACATTATCTTTTGAGCACTAAGTAGGTGGTGCAATGGTGAATGCTCGTGACACCAAACAGTTTAGTCTAGAGGTAATGATCTAAATATTGTATTTTGGGGGTATTCAGCCAGGACACCGGTTATCCAGACTGTTTTTCATGATTTTCTCCATCCTTGCAGGCAAATGCCAGGGTAGTACCTTAATTAGGCCATGGCCACTTCTTTCCAAATCCTTTCCTATTCGTCCTTCAGCTATCATTCTATCATCCAATGCTATGTAGTCTTGATGCTGAAAGTGTCATTAATAACTCATGAACAGAAAAATGTTCCTGACTTGCATCTGGGAGGTATATGATTTGAATCTCAAGTGGTTTGCTAGCTACTCAGACAACTTTCCTCAATCACTGCAGGTGAAGTATATACAAAAGTTCCCGCCCCTCTTGGCACTACAGCCCCAGTGGGTCTAGGCCTACCTCCATGAACTTCTCTGTTCATTTCGGTTTTTCTAGATCTTACACATTCGGTAGGACTCCTTGTGCGGGTGATCAGCTCCTCACAAGGCCTCTACCTGTACACAAACACAGAAAAATGCACACACACAAACTAAACATCCATTCCCTGAGTGGGATTCGAACCCACGATCCCGGCTTCCGAGCGAGCGAAGACAGTGCATGCCTTAGACCGCTCGGCTACCGTGACCAACAAAAATAAAAGTAGTGCCTTGAATTACACCTCCAAAATTATTTACCCACTGTTCATTGATATCTTTTCACCTCCTTCAGTGTTATATAACATCTACATTTATCAAGAAGAAAGAAGAAAATCCATGGCTTGTAGTCCACAAGCGAACTATACCGACCGAACAACTGCCGCTTGTCGGCGAAGTTAGTACCAACGTTTGCGGACAGAGGGTGTCATGTGGTCAGTGCAATGGATCCCCACGGCCGTTAATCTCGGTTTTCTAGACCGGAGCCGCTATTTCCTTGAAATAGCTCCTCAGTTATCCTCACAAGGCTCAGTGGACACCGTTCCAGATCCACTGGTTAGAAAATCTGGTAGCGCCGGGAATCTGGATCTGTAGCCAGGAACTCTGACCACTAGACCACAGAGGTGGTCTTAGAGACTTGTAAAATAAAAATAGTCTGAATGTAAGAAGTGTCTCTGTAAACTGATAATGCAGATGAAGGGCAGGAATATGTCACACTAACTTAGAGACACATCATACCTGTCCCTCGGGTGTCACATATTGCCAGAGAGAGCGATTGTTGTTGCCTGTTGTTGTCTCAAGCGTTGCAAGCCCTGCAGATGTTACATAAAAGTCGTCACCTGACTGGATTGTCCCTGGGTATGATGAGAATGTGATAACATGGCCAGGAACTGTATCATTTGAGTCAGGAAGCATTTTGTATGGGAAGATATACCTCTTCTGGACTCGAAGCATGGACTGGAAACTGAAAGACATTTTCATTCAATTTATAAGATTTCATGATCTCTCATCAGAGAGGATGTTACATAAGGGCTATGACTGAAGGGTTCAGTTGGAAGAAAATCTCTGGTCGCGAGTCTCAAGGGGCGTGGTGCCAAGACCTGGAGATTGGTGGTAAACCACCAGTCGTAAAGTCACTCTGACTTTGACTTTGACTTTGACTTTGAAGTTGCATGTTGCCAGTTTAACAGCCCAAGTCTGAAGCATACTTCATACGTATAGGATATTCGAAGTTGGCCATACTGCCATCTTCAGTAACTAGTCATTATATCGATGTAATTTAAATGTCTTAACTTATTTAAGGCTAGTGCCAACAGTCAGGTTGAAACACTTTAAATACTTTATAATCATACTGTGTTCTTCCCCTAGACTAAGAAATCAAGTTTCGAGACCAATTGGACAAGTTAGGAAATGTACGAGTATGCATAGCATAACAATAATGGCTTATTTGCCCTGTTACTAACTCTAGATTTTTAGTTCAAGAATATTAACCTGATTTTCTGCTATAAATGTCACAAGCGTGATGATTTCAAGCGAATATGTTTATATAAATGCATACTAAATGTGTCTCTGCTTTTTACACAACAAACACACCAGGACTAAAATCATGCAGATTATAAACAAATACCTCGACCATGTGTCATGGGAAGTGTACAGATCTGAAGAGTCCGGTAGGAGTTTAATAAGAGCAGAGCAGGTGGTTGAGGCAGGTAACTGAGCCCCTCTCACTGAAGGCGGATCACCGGTGTTGGTATCAAAAGCAGAAAACAGGTCCTCAAGATCCCCCTGAATGTTCAACCATCTGCAAACAGGCAAAGCACTATAGTATAGTTAGGGCTCCATTTTTGGCCCACAGAGACACTGCAGAATCTTTTCAGACACTACAGCATGTTTGAAAGGCCTAACCACAGACACTACACCATCTTTCCAGGGCCTAACAACAGACAGTAAAGCATGTTTTGAAGATCCTAACCAGACACTGCAGCATGTTTTGAAAAACCTAACCACAGACACTACAACATGTAAAACCAAAAATCAATTACAAACCATAAACACAGACATATATTTCCCAGAAACCTTTCACAAGCAACACAAAGAACAAAAAAAGAAAAAGAAAAATGGGCCACCTTCACATATTTTGGCCCCTGAGACCAGAACTACATATTACTAACTTATTTCCGAATACAAACCTTAAAATTGCCTACAAGACTAGCAATACAATTAAACACCACTTGAAACCTAGAGAAGAACCGAGTGACATATATCAGCTGCCATGCAGTAAATGCCCACTTAAATCTATTGGACATACAGGACACACATTTCAAAGTCTGTTACAGAGAACACATAAACGTCATTAGGACCAATAGACAGAACTCCAAATTCGCACAACACATTCTATAAACAGAACATGAATACAATACACTAGACCCGACTATGGAAATACTACACACAGAAAAGTAAAATTTCATATATATGACATAACCAAGAAGGGTCTACAAATGAACGATACAATTACAGACATACATGCTACATGCCCTGCCCACCTCATCCTCCTTAACTTGATCATTCTAATTATACTTGGAGAAGAGTACAAGTTATGAAGCTCCTCATTATGCAGTTTTCTCCAACCCCCTGTCACTTCATCCCTCTTAGGTCCAAATATTGTCCTCAACACCCTGCTCTCAAACATCCTCAGTCTATGTTCCTCCCTTAATGTCAGAGACCAAGTTTCACACCCATACAGAACCACAGGCAAAATTATAGTTTTGTATATTCTAATTTTTATGTTTTTGGACAGCAGACGAGAAAACAAAAGATTCTGGGCTGAATGGTAGCAAGCATTACCAGAGTTCAATCTCAAAAGTTGTAAATATCTTATATAAGCTTCCTCTGTAATAAGAAACTACTCACAAGAGATCATTGAAAGTGAGATTTTTGGAAGTGTCTCCTTCTGCTTCCCTTGCAGTTTTGTAACCAAATGCGAGTCCTTCCAGGTGATAGTAGAACAGATTCACCTGCACAAGTAAAGTAAAATTAACTTCGCAGGAAAGTAATTTTATGCAAACTAGTTAACATCCATTGCAAATTCAACAGGAAGTTTCAGTGTGTGTTATATAAGCTTTCATACTTTTAACTTCCCTTGCTTTCTCCGGTATTTCTTTCCAGTTCTGCATGTTATTGAATGATGCAACAAGGCCATTGTTTAATGGGATCTCTCACAAAGAATGCATGAAATAGTCATAAACTGTCTCTTGTACACAGTATACTATATTCCTCATATCCACATCAAAATATTATCAATACTTGCATCATAATGTACTGAAACGAAAAACAGTTCAGTCTTTCATGATCCACTATATAACTCACATTCATGCAACACTTGAAAATTTGTTGCTATGGTAAACTGAAGTCTCGTGCTTACAAAACTTCCTTTACCTATACCTGCGAAGCAGCATTTAATTCCTCAAGATTCAGTTATCAAAGTGGATTATTCATGTTTCAAATCAACAATGACTCCAAAAAATTGGCCTTTACATGTCTATATAAACCAATAATAGAACAGAATTAACTCTTGTGAATTTAAGATCTGAGATTTTCATGGGGTGAGTATCAAGATCTACCCTGATGATAGAAGCAGCAGGTTCCTTCGAAATGTTGGTATGTATGCACAAGACTACATGGCATCACATCTCGGAGATCATAATCCTCATGTATCTATTTATTTGTAGTTTATTTAATAATGCCGTTACTACGGTATCACAATGACAGCTGGTGGGGTGAATAGTGAATTTCATAGAATGTGGAAAGATGCTGCCATGGGTTAATTTGAGATCCAATCCCATCATTTATGTGTGGAAGCATTGAGGAAAACCATGCAAAACCGAAAGTCATGAAAGCCAGTATGAGGGCATAGGACCTGTGACTTCCTGAATATGAAGCAAGAGTTACACCACATTTTGTACCCTCTGGAAACTGTTTAGTAGAAGGAATGTAACCCCACAGATGAAAGGTAACAATGTAAAGCTGTCCCTCTGCTCAATTAATTAAGCATCACACCATGAAGATGTGTGGGGGAGTAGAGGTATAGCTCCATCATTCCTGACCTTGACACTAGATGGAGTAAGCGATCACTTCACATCCCAGCTGCTTTACCACTGATGCCCATTGGACTGAAGACAGGGTGGGCCCCAGAGCCAGTCTGGATGGTATGGAGTGGAAAAAAATCTGTTGCCCCTGCCAGGGGTAGAATCTAGCCATCCAGCCATTGGCCCGTCACTGTACCAACTCAGCTATCCTCACTCAAGGTTTAATTCCTACCAAAGGCGCACTTCTTTCATGAGCAAATAATGTATATAAAAACTTCCCAAGAACCTCACACACAAGGGAAATAGTGCCACAAAATATTTCTTGATTAAACAGTTCTGATAAAATTCTGATGGATATTCTACTCTGCTAGATAAAGATAATATCTAAGTTTGTTATTTTTGGCACTTACAGGATCAGCAAGAATCTTGTTACAGTTCCACATCACTAAAATAAATATCTGCACTTATTACTTATAATAATCTGACCTGGTGCCAGTAGGGCTCTGTGTTGCTGTGGTTGGCAATCATGTCATTGACCCAAACAAGGTTCTTATCCAAATGGTCCTGAACCCTTTGGCACAAAGCTTGCCTGGTTTCACAGAAGCCATGCAGGGTATTGTACCAGTGCTTGTACATGAGGTCATACGTCAGAAGTGACTCTACATATCCAGCAGCAAAGGCTTGTGACGTATCATTGTTCTGAGGATTTGTTTGCACCTGCAGGTAACCCCAACTGAAATGCCACAAATTATATGCTGTATGAATTTAAGTGATCATTTCACACAAAAAGCACATACTTGTATGTTGTGGGTTGTGTCTTCACCCATCTGTCTGTAGGCATACTTCATCCACTAAACTACAAATGGATTTGGACGAAATCTGGTTTTCAGGAACCTACACTAAAACTTCTTTAGTTCTGTTCTCTAGCAGTCCAGTATAATGCCTCATTATATGAAACTGATATTTCTAACTACATCTTAATTCTCAAAAGTTGATCACACTGTGCAACAAAGTTTTTGTCACACAAATGTTTTTAGGTTAGCTGCATAATTTATTTTACACCGATTATGAAAACTAAAACAGAATGTTTCTGTCATCCATGTTTATGGGTGGTATAGAAATTTATATTATTTAGGATTTATATTAAAATAGAAAGGGGAAGGTTCTGCCACTTGCTTCTCCCTTCTTTTGTAAGTTTATGCACATCACTGGTTGCATGTTCATGTCCAAAACATTCCCTTACTCCTTCAATTCTCTCACCCAGCTTACATAATCACTTTCATTTGTCAGGCTGATGAGTAAGAGCTGGGAAGCAGAAACCTCTGTAGATAATATGGAAGATGTGTATCTTTTGAGGGAGAAAACAATTCTGAGGGCTGGCCAATTCTACCTGAATAAACACTGTAAGTATTACTGGTTCACAAATTTGGTTTAATTTTTGTTGCTATTCACTACAGTGGCAGATTAACTGTAACATGCTGTTTTCTGTCGGTGCTGTGCTATGAACAGACATCTTGGAGCTTTCACAGCAACAGAAAATAAGGAAACTTCATATTGGCAATTCAATTCTCCCTCTCTGAGTTTTGGTTTTTTGTTTCATAACAGGTGTCGATATTTGTATTCCCATATATTTACTACATTTGATGTGGTATGCTTATTATATTTTCAATTTATTTTTTCCAGTGGAAGAAACGCGTTGTTGTGTAGCTAAGGGCAACACTGCTTCCATCCACATCACTAGAAAAACACCAGAGACTGTACATGTTTATCTACACAGTTATACACTAGGAGCTAGTTACTGTAGACAAAACCTTGTAAGAGGAGGAGTGGGTATCTTTGTCATAAAGAATCCAAGATACAATCATCTGATAAATATAAAATATCACTGAAATGAACATGACATAGAATACTGTGCAACCGAAATCTAAATTATCTAACATTCATGTCCTATCTAGATACAGAACCACCACAGATGATTTTGAATTTTCCTAAACAAGTCAGAAAATATACAGGTATACTCTCTGAAACAACTATATTAAATGAAACTGACCTTTCGACTCCCCAAAATTGTGTGGGTGATTATAATTTTAAATGCATGATAGATCAGTGACCCCCCAAGTGTTCATGACCCACAGTTTGAGAAACAATGCACTTCGGCATGGTTTGTCTTTCGTCATTCGGCCGTAGACCGGTAGGTAGCAGCACCAGAAACACCAGCGAAAATAATCGTATTTGATCGTACTCACCCGGTGTCATTATTTAGGGCCGCGTAATATCCCTTCGCGAGCCACTTGGTGTCATTTCCTTTGTTCAGAGTGTATCTCGCACCACTTTCATTCTGTGTAATATACACTGTTTTCCTTGTTACCCCAGAGACATGTTGCATTTCCATGAACAAGCAGATTACACACACAACCACAGTGACCACGCACATATTCTGGTGTATCATGATCATCATGACGCATCTCAAACCTTCCACGACCGATTTTATACTAGTTAGCGTTTGGACCGTTTAGACGTATCGGTATGTATAGACGTGTAAGTCTAGGACCATTGGCTGGCAACATAACCATCATGACGACACTGGCGGGGATAGCACTGACCAAGGGTCGCACCACTGCCCATCAGGGATGTCAAAGATGGCTCCTTGTGGCTTTGAGAGGCTGAACCGAAACTCTTGGCGTACATATTTGTTCACACCGTAGAGACTAGAATAGCCAGTTTTTCTCAATCAGTGAACCGGTGGGACGCGTCTCAGTGGTCAAACTTAATGCTGAGTTGGATCGATATGGAGGTGAGTGGTCTTCTTCACGAACTGGCCACTTTACCCCCGACGAAGGAGCCGCCGGTACCCATTGGATAGGAGGCTGGGTGGTCCCCACAGCCGGTCTGGACGCTGTGGATAAGAGAAAAATCCTCACTGCCGGAAATCGATCGATACGTACCAATCTTCATAAAAATTGGTTCAGACACTCAAAAGTTAATGGGGGGGGGGAGGCGCTCACATGCACACATACATAAAGGCAGCATGGAGATCGCATGAACCTGCTTTAGGAAAGTGAAACACATTGACACAGATAGCATGGAGATCGCATAAGCCTAATTTAAGGCTAAAAACAAGTTGTGTTGAGGGAATTAATTTCTGTCTCACCGTGGCCTATTATCAGTCGTCTAAAGCATTGGACAGATTATCTTGAAATTCGATATGGCAGAATTTCACCATAAGTCGTCGGGTGATTCGATTTTCAGCCTTGTTGATTCATTATAACGCTTAGTTTGCATAAGGGCATAAATTAATTTTGCTATGTATGCAGTTAACCCTTCCGCATATTTTATTGAAAATCTATCTGGGAAACTTTAATTAATTTCCATTTCATTATTCCCGTTATTATGTAGTCTCAGTAAAACTCTAAAAACCGCCTTTGGTTATTTTGTGTACATGTCACGCTGGAAATGGTTTCCTGGAAACGGAATCTGTAACTGAATCAGCGTTATGCATAGTCATTTCAGTTTTGTACTAATAGAAATTCGTTCATAAAATCGTGATTTATTATAATCATGCAATAAAATAAAATCGCCATATATAATTATAAATATTATAACGTGGATGGCGCAACAGGAAGTAGGGGTCACGTGAACCCTGCGTTTCCACGAGTGACGTCACGTACCCTCACTCCTTCCATCACTACGCAACGCTCGGTAACTGCATGGTTTGTAGTGTGTTCCACATTGTGTAAATAGGTTTTATGTTGGCGTTCTTGGATATTTAACACACAAATCCACTAATTGTATGCATGTTTTTTTTTTTGTTTTACAATTTTTAATTTAACAGTAGGTTCAGACTATAGAAAATTCTTAAACTTTCATATACAGTTAAATGGAAAATGCAAGATAAATTCCATCTCATCTCTTGGGACATCAAACTGGCAACGGCGGGCTCTTTAAATGATCGGCGCAAGCCTAAATCCCACACTTGGCATACGAAGTTGCTCCAACCCGCACAAATGAAAAGCACATCAACTTCCTAAAAATTCGCTACAATTGTTAAAACGAAATTGCAGACATTGGCGGAAACCGTCATTGATGTCGTTCTATTCGCACTGTTGTGAAATTTGTTTAGTCTACTGACAATTGATGTTCAAGATATAAACAAAATAGAAGTAGAAATGATCTGCATTTGGCATAAAGGAAAAAGAAATGGGTTTCTAAAATGTACCGCCCTTAAAATCGTGCTGCATTTGGAAGTGACTTTTTGGCTCTCCCTGTCGCTCGAGCCGTAGTAGTTTATGTTTCTGCAAGCATAACGCCGTACTCTTGGCTCTGTTCTCATTCCCCTCTGACCAGACAAACCAGATAAGCTATCGGTTAATGGTGAAACATGTGTGCAGAGGTCACTGTTCATAATTTAAAGTCAACTGGATTAGAACCGAATAGAACTACTTTGCACTGCTCACAGACCAGGGAAAAGAAATTCTCCCCGAAAGCAGAGGTGGAATTCAAATACGATCCATTGTTGACTGATATTCATAACTTAAGAAGCGGTCAGAAAACGTTTTCGCTAACGAAAATAAGTAAGAATTACATGACTGTTCAAATGAAACTCGATCACGACACTCCTATAGAATATGCTCGGTCGCAGGCCATCACGTGTTTGTGCGGCTGACATACCAGTAGTCGACCACGAGTTGTCTAACAGAATGGGTGCATTAGAGTAAACGGGAATATGGCGACACCGTTATTGTCGTGCTCCTGGTACAGAGTTCGTCTGAATAGGAGCGCTGCTACTGGCGTTCGAGGAAGTCTTGGATAATATCGGATGGAGACATCGAGGATGCGGTGATACAGTTGTTCCAGCAATGTCCAAGTACGTCTTTACATGGCGGATCCATCGGCTGGAGCTTCATGGGCGTCATGGGACCCCTGTTTCAGCGTCCATGGTGGATACTTTTAACGGTCTCTAATCCCGCGCCCGAAACCATTCCCGAACTTATTTCACTTCAACAAGCCTCGAAATGTTTGCTTAAAAGAACAGGGGATTGTGATATCAGGTCACATTCCGGAGAGTCGTGGTTCGAATGTGGCAGGAGTACCTCCGTCCTCAATGACGTCTTTCTTTATTTGATTTATATAACGACTCTGTTAGTATCTAGAATGTACGGCATTGAATGAAAGGTTAAAAGGTAAAAAAAGGTCAAAGGTAAAGCTATCCCTGTAACAGGCCATGTTGGCCTATAGGGTTGTGAGACGTTGAGGTCCCACATTTTCTAGACCTTCTAGACAATCGGCTCACAGATGACGGTAAGGCCTTGCGCGCCGGCCGCCCTTCCTCCCCCCCCCCCAGGAAGAATCCAGATACTCATTTCTGTTGGAGGCTGAATCGATCCCAGGGCCATAGTGCGGCTGGAAGGATTATATCAATTGAAAAAGATCCACCTCATCGGGACTCAAACCCGCGACCTTCCAGCTTGTAGCATAGTGCCTCAACCAACTACGCTACCCGTGAAAGGGTGAGTAATGAATTTACTTGGATGGACTGAGAAGAACCACGGAAAACCTCAGGATAGCGGTGTTCCGATCGAGATTCGAACTGAGCACGTACCAAATACAAATCTAGAAAGTTACCTCTATAATGATGAGCTCGACTTACAAAAAATTTCTTAGTTTTCCTCAGTCGCTCCAGGCAAATTCAAGGAAAAGTTCCTTCAATTCTGCCTTCACCACCTTTGGGAGATGTAACGTTAGAATCTCTACTGTAACGGTTATTCTGAAGATGGTCTATCCTTATCTTCCTCCGTCGTTCCATACATCTACCTGGAATTTCGCACGATATATCCACAAGCGGAACATGAAATTAAATTGGTATGTTGGGGACTTTGTGATTCGTACCAGTTCTGTAGCTGAATACAGATGTCAGCACTAGCATACACTGGCGACGACTGCGCATAATTCCGTTACTGCTATACCAGTTGATAGGAATTGTGTCCAAGTCATTCAAACGATAAAAGTTTTACAAATGTTGTGTTAGGTTAGTAATCTCAGCTCAGAATAGTTGAGAAGTACAATACAATATAAATAATTGAAAGAGACAGTATTGCAAAGAATTCTACGTACTCTCAGTAGTGCTTGTCACAGGTTAGTACAAGCAGTTGAATTAGTGCATAGATACACCATACCTTTTAAATAGTGCAGTTTTGTTACTTTGTCGATATTTTATAATCACAGGCATCCGCTTATTATAGATATGTAATACTTTAATTAAACTGAACATGAGCTTACAATTTTGAAATCCTGTGCTACGTATGTTTAAATGTAAGTTTATGAAGGTTTCATTACATTTCCTAAACCCACCTTCTTTCCTTTTTCATTTCAGAATGAATTTCAATTTCGGAAGTACTCCAAAAGTAGCAGGAGGTTTTAATTTGCCAAGTTCGGCAGTAACAACAACAAGTGAGAATCATTTGTATAATTGTTAAGAGCAAAGCATGAAAAGTAATCACATGGGGATATGTTGTAGAGAATCGCAATGACAGCAGAATTTGTGTGAAAATTTGGCCGGTCGTGATATGCCCAGTCATAATAAATTGTGAAGTGGCTGGTCAGATCATTAAAATCTAAGTTTTAAGAAATGCATTTCCAGATTTTTCTCAGTGTTAACACCAAAGTCTTTACATTGAAGTACTATTGGAAATGCATCAGTTTGCAGTAGAAGGTAGATAAATAAATGAACATTTCTGATACAGTAATAAGTAATGAATGAAAATTTATTACAAAGTAATGTTTGTTTTAGTGTATAAGGCAAAGCAGCTGCATTGGTACCATTTGTATGCTATTTTGTGAGTGGAAAACATGCTGAGGCAGCTAATAAGTGTAATGAATATGTGTGCTTGAAAGACAGCTGTTCTTATAATTCCAGTTCCCATCTGTGACAAAAAATAACTTATTGTGCCCCTTGAAAGTGCTGTTTTCCTACACACCTTTCCCATTGCCCCCTCACATGGCCCTGAGCAACCACCTTCCTTGTAACTTGCCTGTGTAATAGCCAGTTCCAGAACCTACACAACTTAACCCTGAAGATAGAGGCAGCAGTTCCTCTGAAGCATTGGCATCAGCCTACGTGGCTACATCTTATCACAATCTGAGCTATTACTGTCATGAAAACCAGAAAACTTGTATTCATCTTATTTCTGGGATTAAGTATCCCACACCTCGGAAGTTGAATCCTCCACCATTTTGAGAATGGACAGAGGCCAGGAAAACTGGTAAGGTCAGAAATAGAATCATTGGCCATAATATTTTACAGATATTTACATGGTATGTAACTGTAGATTTATTCTTTGGTTTCCAGTAATAACGTGACAGTAGAAGAGGGGCTGGGCAGGATGTGTAGCATGGGTGTGCATGGGCACATGCTTGGGGAATTATATTTGTAATTTTTTAGGGATTTTAGTGTTTTGTGTGTCTGTTATAGCCACCACAACACCAGCCTTCTCTCTTGGTGGAGATTCATCTGCTTCAAAATTATCTCTCAATCTGTCATTGCCACCAGCTACAACAGCAGGTAAGTTAGAGAATTGTTTGCTACTTTTATAGATGCCACCTGGAAGCATCCAGCACTACATGAACACTGTTGTTTGTAGGATTAGGGCTCCAGCTAAAAACTACAACAGCTGTTGCTGTCCCAACGTCAAGTACAACAGGCTTCACCCTCGCAGCAAGTACAGCAAGTACAAGTGCAACTACATCCACAGTAGCTCCTCCACAGTCAGTCCTAGCTACTGGCACTACGTGAGTACAGGGGGCAGAATCCAGTAAACGTTCAGTTATCCACAGAAATGAATGGGGAAGCAGCACCATAATTGAAAACAACCGCTAAACCACATACCAGAGCTAATGAGCTTCACTTGAAATTCAGACTTGTAGTAATAAGGAAAACAGAAATAAGGGTTTTTGAATTAAGCAAAGAAGTATGGTTCTCATCTTTGTAATTGTACAGTATAGTACACATTTGTGTCATGTAGGTAGATCATAACAGTGAAATCTGGATTATCCATGCTAAGGAAAGGGGAAAATTGCATAAATAATCAAATAACATGAATAATGGAAGATGTTTTATGGTTTGCTCTCACAAATTACTTACACATGCAGTCGTTTCTATTGTGTTTATTGTAATAAATAGTCTGGGATGTTGTTTGTTGAGGCCTCTGCTTATGTAGGCAGTTTTAATTCTCTTTGTGGCCGTAATGTAATATGCAAAGCCCTATTGACCCAAGTACTGTGGCACAGAATCAACACACTGAATTAAACGTGTGGGGGCCTCCCACATTGAAGCAAGCACTAGCCAGTCAGTGTTCATCACAGCACCTGAAATGCCCACTGGGTCAGATGCCACAAGCAACAGTGTATAAAGATGCAAACGTCTGACATACTAGTCAGTTGGAGCTACTCTTACTTCAAGACAGCATCTGGAGCGCACACAGCAGTAGCGACCCTCCTAGCAGTAACGCTGCCAACTATGAAAGCAATTGCCTCAACTCTTGAGAAGCTCTCTGCCGGTCCTTTCTACTCTGCTGCCAACTCACAGTCACCAGACTACTGAACATGGAGGACCACCCGCTCAGACAAGCCAGCCTGACGCAGCTGTAGCTCTGTTGGCTTTCATCAGGAATTTACGTGGTTGTCTCCCAATGCCAGAGCTGATATCCCACAAGGGTTTTCATATAAAGTGGTTGTTAGAATAGCTTGATCTAAATGAAAATAGAAGTTTCATGACAGTTTTCCATAAAATTCTCCAGTATTAAATTTCAAGAAATTCTCTCAGAGATACTGGGTTTTTGGACTTTGTCCATCATCCGGATTCTGAATGAATAAGCAAACCACAGCGTTTCAGAAACTGGATCTGTTTCCGTCCTCAGTTGAGGGGATGAGGGGAGACACTCTGTTGGGTCCATTAGAAATCACTGGACCAGTGATTGAGGCTAGCTATTTCTAAGGGACCCAACAGAGCAGGTGTCTCCCCTCACCTGAGGACAGAAACAGATCCAGTTTCCAAAATGTTGTTTTTTTTTTCTTATTTATTTAGAATCCAGACGATGGACAAAGTCCGAAAACCCAGTATCTCTGTCTGTTATACACCATCATCAGAACCCTATAGTATCTACTTCAAGAGGATCTGTCGAGCAGTTTTTCACTTGTTTCATGCACACAGTCTGATGGATGGGCTGAGTAAACTTTATCAGTGAAGATAACTGAAACTCTCAGAAATGATGAAAAATTCCTATATTTGAAGAATACTTTCTGAGTACAACTCGAAGCGAAGGGAGACCTGAGATATTGATACGTGCAAGACAGACACTGATTTCAACTTAGAGTTAGACTTCATAAAACTGTAGTGATGGCAAAGAAGTATCTTCTTTCTGTTCATGGCAATCAATTATTGCGTTCTGGGGATTTGGTGGTCTGTCAGCTGCTCACGATTATGGAAGTTTTTGGCTCATAAGATGTACATTTTCATATTTCAAGTTTATACTTCCTCTTATTGAAGCATCATGAATACACTGAAATATTTATTATGAATATAATATGTTTCAACAGTTTTTTATGTTTTCTAATTGGTTATTTAATGACATTGTCAATACAGAACTATAAATTTTTGGTAATACATTGATTGAGGATTGTGGAATAGTTCGTGGAATGAGAATTGGCAGGGTAAACTAAGTACTTGGAAAAAAAACAGTCCACCACAAATCTCATAAGACCTGACCTTGGATCAAACCTCAGTTTACGATCAGGTGTCTCACATTAAAGTGGAAACTATTACTGCCTTCAAAGGCATGTCCTTTGTTATATTTCAACTTTATTTGTCAGTTTCTTATTACAGTACAATTAAAGAATAAGCCATGCAATCAAGCAGCAGTATGGCTTTCTGTTCAACTGAAACACTGATAAACATTTACCAGACTGCATGGCATCACATCCCAGAAAACTTAACTCTCTAAGTGAACTCCTTCCCTCCTTACCTTGATTGTTCATAAATGAAAAGTTATATTCAACCAAAATGGGCCATACTTTTATAAGTGTTGAAACTGATTGGTGACATGTCATTTTGGTATATCTACTGATGTCATGTGTGCTGGCAAACTCTACGCTTACCGTGACTGACCACATATATTTCATTCCCAGTGTGTCTAGTGCTTCATCAGGAGCAAGCACATCCCTTAACTTCTGTCAGCTGGAAGAGAGTATTGTGACATGTTGACCCCTACCTCCCCAGGGGCACGTAGCGGTAATGTAGCGCTCGCGTAATAGGCGAGTCATCACCCCGCCACTCTCCCTGCGATGACGTCATGAGCGGAGCCGAAGTGAGCCGAGTCCCCGCAACCTTGACGCTATGCAAAGCGAGTCAACAGCGGTGACGTCACCAAGGGGTAACAGCGTTGCTAGGCTATACGCCACGTCACAACTAGCAACAGCGAACGGAATAAAAGCCGGCTGAGCAGGAAGCGAGAGTCAGTGCGTTATCAACAAGTTCTCAGTTCGCAAGTTACGAGCTACAGACGCGTGTGCGATAACCAGTGATAACCAGTCATATCTGGAGTGTGTAATTCAGGGAGACTTCTATAGCTCCCGCGTTATTAATACGTGAAGACTCTTGAAGATAGTGTTAAGAGATTTTGTTGTAGGGTTTGTAAAGTGTGGAAACCCGTAACATTGTGATAATTAATTGTAGCCGATATTTATAGATTGTTCAGTAAACCAATTAACGATCTCTACGGCGTATTCAGTAACGAAACACGAGCAGCAGTATGGCTTTCTGTTCAACTGAAACACTGATAAACATTTACCAGACTGCATGGCATCACATCCCAGAAAACTTAACTCTCTAAGTGAACTCCTTCCCTCCTTACCTTGATCGTTCATAAATGAAAAGTTATATTCAACCGAAATGGGCCATACTTTTATAAGTGTTGAAACTGATTGGTGACATGTCATTTTGGTATATCTACTGATGTCATGTGTGCTGGCAAACTCTACGCTTACCTTGACTGACCACATATATTTCATTCCCAGTGTGTCTAGTGCTTCATCAGGAGCAAGCACATCCCTTAACTTCTGTCAGCTGGAAGAGAGTATTAACAAATGGACTCTAGAGCTAGAAGAGCAAGAGAAGTTGTTCATGAATCAAGCTACACAGGTGAATGCATGGGATCGCCTTCTTATCGGCAATGGCGAAAAGGTAAACCCTTGTCAGTATATATATAGAATAATATGTGTTCCAACATGGGAACATGATTTGTATAGGCAGGAATATGAAGGTTCCTTCTTGGGAATGCAAGAATTGGCAATGTTGCAAGAAGGCTTGCTTAGGTCTTCTGTATAGTCAGGTGTCTGCAGCGAATGGTTTGTCTCTGTAGTTATGACAAAGTCAGTCAGAGCTGTCAACCTACAAACTATAAAATGAACATCAACAAAGATAGTTTATATCAGATGGGTTGGGTTTTGTTCTCAGAGTGAACTCAATTCTGTAATTTATAATGTCTTATTTAATTTCTCATCACAGTCAGTTGTAAAATTCTGTGACATGTAGCCCCATTGCTAGGCAACAACCACAAAATAAGCAATTATACAAGAGCTGTTGCTAAGTAATGGCTTGCAAACAAGCATGTTTCCATGGCAACAATTGCATTGCAACAGAGGAACAGTGTTTTCTGCATGGTGTATGACGAGATCTTATAAGCATGTATTGTTAGTTATTGAGTTGGTTGGTGAGTTAGTGAGTTAGATAACCACTGAGGTTTACTTGTTATGAGGCTGGTAGATGAGGCCGGGAACAGTTAAGGAACCCAGAGGAAGGGGAATGTCTACTGTTGGAAATTGCTACCAAGCTATAACAGTGAAGGCATGACTGTGGACACTAGCATGTAATAGTGAACTGTAAAGTGTAGTCATGTGCTGTATCAGAGAGTCCAATAAATCTGATCATCGATCCAAAACTCATCCATAGTCACATTCTGTCACATGACAACTGGTGTCGGAAGTGGGATTGGATTGACCAAATTATTGGACTGTATTGAAGTGTGCATGACTGGTTTGTGATTCAGGTGAAGGTTAATCATGTAGCCACTTTTTTTTTATGCTAGTGGGGTGGGACTAAGTCCCTTGTACTGCGGCCACTTCTGGCCTATTGTACCAGCCCCAGATGATAGGTGAGGGTGATTGTGGAGCAATTGGTGGAATAAAGATTGGTTTTGAACTGAATTGAATTTATTTACATTCTATAAATCCTAAGTAGGTTAGTACCGAAGTACTCAGAGAAAACCTGCCCCAGCGCAACTTTGTCCACTTGATTGTGTGGTAGCCATCAGCTGCTTCCTCTAACAGCAACTTAAATGCATGGGTGATTCCTAAATCTAAAGACTGTAGCTAGCTCGTACAGTTAACTGGGAAAAATACAGCTTTGGTATTGCTGAGAAATGTGTCCTTTTGATGGGCAACACACTGACAAATAAAGAGCAAGATTCTGTGATTTTTAGCACCCAGTTTTCTATAAAGTTGTGTGAGGTAATCTTAAAATATTTTGGCAGCCATCCAAGAATTTGTATTAGTTTCATATTTTGTAGACAGTCTCTTGACATTCTTGGAGTAATGTGGACATTTATATTTAGCAGTTAAAAGAAGTGGCAGTTTTATCACTACCATCATCAATGCATGGAAGGAGTACAGTAGCCCAGTGTTTAGATTTTATACTACCCTGGCAAAAATCTTTTCAAAAGTGAAGGTTTGCTAGATTGTATATTGAAAAATAGACTGGGCTCATCAGCATTACATATCACAGAGTGTCTTGCAATATTGAGTATTTTTTTTCAGCCTTCTGCAGTTTCTGAATCAACATCCCTGCTCTCACCTGATAAGTGTTCTATAAACAATGTCATGTCTCCTAAATCAATTGATCCATCAACTGGAAGCCAAAAAGTTGGCTATTCCCAGACAAGCAGCAATGTGCAAGGCCTTCTTGAGATGGCTGCCCTCTGCGGAAGCGTTACTGTCACATGCTTGCTTGAACCATGCACCAAATGCAGATTCCAGTTTCAGCAGTGGTAAATATTTCAGTGAGTTCCCCTACTTGGAAAAAGGCCACACTGTACATACCTTCTTTCAGTTTCATCACAGTTCTTCACAACAATGTTTAACATGGACACAGGAAGTCTCACTTGTTTGTGCCAGTTCAACACACGAGCCAATATGTTCATCAGCTTGGCCTAAAATATTTATTTTACTGCTTACTGCAAATGATTTCCATTTTCCTTTTTTATCCATATTTCATCCACTTGCTGTGAGATTTGTCTCAATTGACAATAAAATTTGATTTCTATGAAATGAAGTCACATGGGCACTGGAAGATTGAAGAATTTCACTCGGGTGCATTTCTGCTGAATGTTTCACTTACAGAAACACACTTGCCATTTTGTAGTGGTTATTTCTTGGAACACTTGTCAGATATGAGAGAGAGAGACACACACTTCTCTTGTTGAGTTTTAGTTACACTAAGACACACCAAGAAAAGTCAGTGAAAATAGTCAGAAATGTGTGGACAAACAATTTTTTGGATTATAACACTAAGATATGGCTATAGCACTGCTGTAAGTGTAACCTCTCTATGCAAACCTGAAACCTTCGACCAAAATGTAAGTAAAAGAAACCAAAAACTTAGAAACTTACAGGCTTCTAGTGTATAGTTATGCAATTGAGATATTAATGACATTTTTGAAAAAGACACTACATATAATTTTTAAGATAATATTAAACACCACTAGGAAGACCTAGACATACATGGGAGGATAATATTAAAATAGATCTTAGAGATAGAATGGGGCAGCATGGGTGGGATTCATCTGGCTCAAAATAGAGACCAATGGAGAGCTCTTGTGAACATGGTAATGAACCTTTGGGTTCCAAAAAAATGTTGGGAAGTTCTTGAGTAGCTGAGCTGATGGCTTCCCAAGAAAGACTCAGCTTCATATAATATAATTTAACATTTGTTAGATTCTTATTGTAACAGCATTTCACTATTCCTTTATATAAGCATATACAGTTTGTAATATGAAAAATGTGTACCAACAATTTTTCAGCTGAAATCAATGCATAAACATTATACAGTAGTATATGAAGGGCCCATTCTTTGCCTGGGATATGGTTACTTTCCTCATCAGTACTACAGTGTATGGTAAAGAAGGAATTAAAAGTATACTCATATAATTAAAAAAATATTTGAAATGTTGATTTTAATCACATCAGAAACTGTACAGTTCCTCTGTATCACTCTAACAGCCTTGGTACTGTACATATTGGCAAATGGAGCAAATTTTATACCTGTATATGTTCTCTATTAGGCCTCCAATAGGAAAAACAAACTTAAGGTGGAAACAGTACATTTTTGTAAGGTACATATACTAGATAAATAGAAGGTATGAAATGTTGTTTCCTTACTTAGTACCAGTTCTGGGATGTCTGTCCAAGTATGACTGAGTGTGGAGTTTCTGATTTCCATTGCAGATTGTTGGTCTAAATAATGCAGTGGAACGTGTGAAGCTCGAACAGCAGCAGTTGGATAATGAATTAGATTTCATTTTGGCCCAACAACGAGAGTTAGAGGAATGTCTTGCTCCACTAGAAAAGGAATTGGACTCCAATGGGGTGGCTGATCCAGAGAGAGAACACATGTGAGTGTACCACAAAAATTAATTCATAGGATACCGTGGAACACGTTTGAAATTCTGGTGGAGTTATTTTATTTTATGGTTTACTCTCATACAATGATGCTCTCACTAGCTCAGTATATACCACAGCATCAAATGATGTTGAAGTGATTGTAGCCTAATCTGAAATCAGGATAGCCAGTCAGGATTACCAGTCTTTGACCCAAAATTTAGACCTCCCCCAAAAGCAGAAGTGATGCCATGTACTGTGGTGGAAGCTTTACAGACATTTTGGAATATATACTACCTTCATGTTCAAGGGCAAAGAAAGCCAAGGCAGCAGATAGCCACTCAGCTTGCTGCTTGTTTATCTGCTTCCTTACCCTTTGACCCAGAGGATGAACTCAGTATTTACCTCTGGAATGTCAGTAAAACTTCTAGCAGATTGTGGATCATTGCAGGAGACAGTACTCTTCAGCACTGCTGAGAACCTCATATCTCACTGATTGGATCATCTTCAAGAAATTCATTTCCATACTAAGGATTAAAGATAAAGGTAAAGCTATCCCTGTAACAGGCCATGGAGGCTCATATGGTTGTGAGAGGTTGAGACTCCCACATTTTCTAGACAGTTGGCTCACAAATGGCGGTGAGGTTGTCAGACTTATGCGCCAGCTGCCCTTTATCCTCTGGGAAGATTCCTTATACTCATTTCTCTTAGAGGCTGAGTCGACGCCAGGGCCATAGTGCAGCTGGAAGGATTAGGTCAATTGAAAAATCCAGTGACCTCATCAGGAATTGAACTTGTGACGTTCTGGCTTGCAGCATAGCGCCTCAACGAACTATGCCACTGTATGCCCCCATACTTGGAAGTGATATCAGTTAAATGGAGTTTGTTTAGCTGGGTAAAAGATGCAGCATGCATGAGGAGAGTGAGAAATGCATATTACATTTTATGGAAATAAGTTGCATGTGTTATGAAATGTATTAAAATAGGCCAGGACAGAATAAGAAGATCCAATACTTTGTTCTGTCATTAGATTCCAGATGGCTGAAAATATGGACACTCAATTAAAACAAATGTCTGAAGATCTGAAAGAAATTATTGAGCACCTAAACGAGACAAACCGAACACAGGACACCAGCGATCCCGTAAGTTATAGTACAAATAACTTTTGTAGGTATACTTTGCAAGACTTGTGCAGAAACTTTCTGCCTTCTGTCACATGAAAATATCAAATTAATTATCATTCATTGGTGTTTCCAGTAGGATGAAGCATCTGATGACAGGTCTTCTTCATTCTCCTTTTGTATCTCTATCCATTGTTTTATGAATATTCCCTCATTTTCTCCACCTAATGCATGGTCTCCCTTTTTTCCTTACACCCTAATGCCCATATCTGTGTCCAGGTTTCAGATTGCCCCATTTTGATTTCTTATTACATTGCAGTTGCATTTCATGTGAATTTAAATTATGCATCTCCATCCATGTAATCTGCTTATATCTCTGTACCTGCATGCTTTTCTATAGAACATACATGAAAAAATGCTGCTCTTCAGTCTGTATAGCCCACCATAAATAAGTTTCAATTAATATGTGGTGTTTGCTTCAGATTGTCCAGATTGGGCGCATACTGAATGCACACATGAACTCACTGCAGTGGATTGACCAGAACACAGCTCTAATTGCAACACATTTGGAACAGGTGTCAAAACTGCATGATGTTCACAGAAGGGAAAATGAGAGATCTTTCCACCTAACTTATGACTGAAAACCTGATGTATCTTTAGTTTTGTCGTATAAAGAACTACAGAACAGACAAGGATACAAAGATGAATAATACCAAACTGTTTTGCTGAAAGGTATATTATTTATGTAAGCAACTAATTTGTCATATTTTTATCTACAAGCAAAATGTAACTTGTTCTTTCTTCTAATCTAAATTATCACATTCCTTGAATATTTTGGAACAATAAATATGGTTATATAATATGGGTTCCATTATTAATTTAATACTAGGGTCCCTATATTCATACACGTCCACATTTTTATAACTTATTTCCTATACCACATCTGCAGAGTCTTCATGCGCTTTACCTTCTTTTGCAGCTGCAGAATGCCATACAGTAAGGCTTCTGCAGTAGGAGGACATCCTGTAACAAGATTGTTCATTAACCTTTATTATATGGGAATGGAATTTAAATCCCAGGGGATGATGGCTGGATCCAAACTTGGGGGGGGGGCATCATACTAATGGCAGTTGTATTAAAACAATGTATACAGGTCTACATGAATATATATCTTTGCTGAAACATTCTAGTAAAAGCATTTAAATGAGATACATCCAAGAAAAAAATGAAGCCATATAGGACAAGAGCATGGAAGCCTATATGAATGCCTGGCAGGAAGAGATGACAGCATGCCAAGATGCAAGAGAGGCAAATCTAATTAAGATGGAGCCAACCAAGAGAAGAAGAGGCCGTAATGGAGCAGCAGGAGATTCCTAACAAAGAGATAGCAGTTCACTCCCTGAGGGTATGCAAAATGAGAGAGCAGCCTACCAGGAAATGATGGAGGCATATCTGAAATATGAAGAGCCAACCTCAGCAGACATGAAGGCCTGCCAAGAGATGGCTGCCTGCTACAGAGTGTTGAAGAAGGTGTGAATGTGGGCTCCTCTCAGAGTATTTGACATCTCAGGCATGCAGTGTGTGTACAGTGTCACATATTTGCATTATTCAGGTCTCTGGGAAGGCACCATTCAGTGCCAAAATGTGTCACCAACAGATGATGTTGAAAGACATATTATGCAGGACTATACCTGTATTTTGTGAGGGACAGTTTCCAACTGCAAAAAGCCTTACTTACATGAGAAACAAAATTTATAGCGAGTCTGTGTCATCAGTGTATCACTTACTGAAAATTACTGGTTTGAGGCACAGAAACACCAATTATGGTAGAACACTTCTGTTGGAGAGGGCTGACATTGTTCCTGCTCAAGGAAAGCTTTTAAGAACTATGCACAATCTGAAAAGCGGCCTCCGTAGTCTAGGGGTAACGTTCCAACCTCATGACTCAAGGTACCCGGGTTCAAAAACCCAGCGGAGGTCGTGAAATTTTTAAGGGCAGAAAAATTCAGGGAACAAGTCCTCTGGGAGGGACTTTAAGCCGTGTGTCCCGTGTCGTAGATTTACGGCACGTAAAAGAACCTCATGTCTCTAAGAGACCGCTGAGCTAAATTAGGCCCAACATTTCCCGCCCAAAGTAGTTTCCAATGCCTCCGGTAGATGGGGAAGTATTAGGTACCACTGCCAAGTAGAGGGTAGAAACCTTGCTGGCAGAAAGGGACTAGAATCCCCTGCCAGAGGAGGGACGACCTCGCTGACAGAAAGGGACTAACTATTAGATACCACTGCCAAGTAGAGGGTAGAAACCTTGCTGGCAGAAAGGGGCTAATAGCGAGCACCAGTACCGGTAGGAGATGGGGACTGTAGAAATTAAAAGGGGGACGTACAATAGACTATCAAAAAGTCGCGGTGCATGGGGAAACCCACCCCCTCAATACTGAATCACTGAATGCACAATCTGAAGGGTTTCAGTGATGAATGTCCACTCTATTAGATGACACATGGGTAAATCAGAATCATTCACGGAAGAATATATGGCAGGATTTTGGAGGAGAAGTACACCTTAAAGTTCCACCAGGGAAGAGCAGCAAAATTATATAGTGTAAAACAAGATCTCTGCTTCATTCCAGACAGTATGCACATAATCATATGATTCTGATTACCATTAGGAAATGAATGCCAGTAGTTTCTGTGACATGTTTTTGAGCCATCCCATGTTCACCACTGATGTTGCTTTCTGCTGACACTTAGCTGGGAAATGTAAACATCTCTTCTCTTTCTAAACTGCTGCTGTCAGGTTACCTCTCACCTTAGCAAGTATTTTGCCTCATTCTGATTTTAGTGTCACTGTCACAACCCGACTAGGCACCCACATAAAATTGTGTCTGACAGTTCCACACCATTTGATAGTGTAAAATTCACCAAGTGTATCCAGTTTTTTAATGATGAAATAATAATCCTACAGCCCACATATTTCAGCCTTAATTGGCCATCTTCAGGAGCAGCCAGTACTAAGGGAGACTTCATACGATTTAGACAAAATATGAAAAACTATTTTGAGTCATTTCAATTAAATCTAACTGAATCCTTAACATGTTCTAAACTGATGATATGCTGATGGATGGAGCTAGATGCTTTTTATCCTGTATTGTTAGCATAACGGTGAAGGTTTTGCTCCACATGATGGGTTCATATTTGATGGTGTGTTGCAACATTTCTGTAGTGGTTTATACGAGCATAAGTGATGAAGTGGCTAGGTATCAACAGTGTGTATCTATACACGCTCATAACTAATGCTAGGTTTAACAATTCATACCTGGTACGTAAATATCAACTGGAATAATCCTATCACAGCCTCTCACAACTGAATATGAGTAATGGTAGTAACCACCGCCATTTGCACAGCTGCCCATAGAAATCACCCATCGAGGCTCTGGCATCTGTAATAGAACATTTTAAAAAATAACAGTTTTTAAATAACATACAAAAAGCATCACAGAAAATAATCACAGCATCCAGGACTTCTTCCTCAAGACATATTTTGGGGTTGTTCAAATGAAACCTGTTCATGGTGCTATTAGTGAATATGGCCAGTGTGAATGACACATTAGCAGCTGACCATGAGCTGTACAGAGTGACCATGCTAGAGTAGTCACAAGCAGCATGACACTGTTACATGCCAGCATTTCAGATGCATAATCCATCCACACACAACCAAAAACTGCCATTCATTTCCTTGGAGGCAAGGCATGACATTGGCATTCAAAGATCCTGACATCACCATCAATGCACAGGACTGTCGTGGAACCCTTCAAAACCTTCATACCACTGTCAAGAAAAAAGNTATACCGGACGATGGGTGAAGTCCAAAATAAGCCGAAAGAAGTACAATATACACCATTGTCAGAATCATTTCAAGTCTATCTTCATACCACTGTCAAGAAAAAACATCTCAGCATTCTTACAAGGGTGTCGTCATATTTCATGACAACACTCTGTCCCAATGTGGCCTCGACATCCAAGACACACTGCATTCCATGCGCTGATAGGTGCTGGACCATCCACCATACAGTCTGAAGGTGTCACTGCCATAGTTTCGGGTAGGATAAAGGTGTCGAAACTGATGATGCAGTAGTTCCAACAGCAGCATTTGAAGTTCTCTGCACAGGGAATCCATGGGTTGGTGTGTACAAGAGATGCCTACATCAATGCCAACAGCTTATACTCCTTTGTGCAGAACAAGTCCAAAATCTGTTTTAATTGAACAAGCCTTGAATGCTGGATACAAGAGATCTATGCAACTGTGCAACATATTTTGCTCTTCATTCCTCTTCAACTTGAAGCACCACAAAAGCAAATTCTTGTAATCACGCACTATTAAGTTATCCCAGTGGAATATATTTCATTACCTGGTCGTATACTTTACGCAGGGCTGGAGCCATTTTGTTTGTTAACGTTCCGGCAACAATAATGACATCAGCTTGGCGTGGAGAGGCACGGAAAACAACTCCAAACCTATCCATATCGTATCGAGGTGCAGCAATATGCATCATCTCAACAGCACAGCAAGCCAGACCAAAAGTCAGGGGCCACAGTGAACCCTTAGATAAAAGCAGAAACCACATTACATACACCTTCAGATAAAGTCAAGGTTCCATTTATTGCCCCATACTTCATCTAAATCTATCTCCAGCGAAATCCTGATCTAGTGGTCCAGCATTTAGCAAAATCCTGTATTAGATTAACATGGCTCCAACCAAAGTCAAATGTATGTTCTCCCATTTTCTGTGAAGTTACAATGTGGGAATGCATTCTCAACAAGAAAAATAATACCAACCTTCTTCATGTTAAGTAATCAAAATATAACTTTATCAGGGCATTAATATATCATTACATACTACTAATATATGGCCATGCCATAGCTCAGACAGTTAGTCGCTGGCTTCCCACCACGGTGGCCCAGGTCACTTGGGATTTGTGATGGACAAAGTGCCACTGGGGCAGGTTTTCTATGAGTACTTCAGTTTCCCCTGCCAATCTTCATTCCACCAGTTGCTCCACAATAAGTATCATCTGGGGCTGGTACAATAGGCCAATAGTGGCCACAGTACCAAGTGGGCTTAGTCTCACCCCACAAAGAATAAAAAAAATAAAAATAATACTAATAATATACTTTAAATACATTCAAAATTAAACAGGGTTGCTGTAAAAATTTTAACGTAACATACCCATCTACAATCTTCATCCTAGCTTACTGGACATGAATTATAAATTGTAAGGGGCAATGATTTTAGTTGTCTACGAAAACATTCATCTGCATCAACTAGTTCCATAAAGTGTATTTTTGCATGTTCTATCACTTCTATTGGTCTAACGGGCGAGGCTTAACCAGCCAAATTATGGGGGCAAGTTACAAAGTACAGCTGCTCCTTGTTACATGCAAGTTCAAAAAATTAGATTCCATTTTAATGTCCTCAAATAATTGAGTGATTTCTGCAAAATGCTTCCTGGCCAATCAAGAGATAGGAAGAATGTTGAGTACAGTATTGTGTGGGTGGCAGAGGAATGCAGGGGGACAATGGAAAATTATGTTCAATTTACATGATTTCAGCCCCTGCAGCTTTTACTGGAATACCAGTGTTGAATAAATCGAGGAATCCTGCATAATGATGGAATAGATGAGTTGGTCAACTCTCACAAATAGCTTGCATACTTATTTAATTGTAATATTTCATACTGCAAAAGAAACTCAACTAAAGTGTACTATTGGGGAAGAAATGTTAATTCTTGATGTACTTCATGTGCTAATATAACCAAAGGATTAATGTGTTACCTTACGCCCCCAGTTCAGTAAGTCATCCAATCGAGCCAGTGCATATTCTGCCAAACTGCTTGTATTCTGGAAAGGTGAGTAAGGTCGTCTTGCTGGAGCAACCTCTGAAATGATAACAGTGCTACATTCTCATATTTTGCTGTGCCACCATTCATAATGCAGATCCTTCTTTTGCCAAGGGCTTTAGACATCTCTGCAAGCTCACTACAAATACTTCTTGCACTTACTGATTAAGAAATATTGGTCCAGATATGGGGCATGCATTGTAGAAATTGCATTTCATTTATTCTGTTTACATCAGCATCATTTCACAAAAAAGAAAAAAATGCTCTGCATATAGAATCCAAAAATAAAGCTTGCTATGAACACTGGGATATGATCAATCACTTTTCAAGATATTTAATTGAAAGTAATGCCTAGAAAGTTTATGATATGTAGAGACATATACATGCTGAATTTATACGTCCACCTGTCTTTTTTTTTCCTGCAGTTTTGATGTGTCTTCTTAAAGAAAGCAAAGTACTTTTTTCTTCTGACAATATCAGCTTTTAAATATTACCTTGTTAGAACCACTGTTTTAACACACTCTTCACTTTATTTTCATCCTAAATTTCATGTTATACTTTTATTCCTTGTAATTGTATTTTACTAAACATTTATTTTGAATCATATACTAAATCTCTTACGGAAGCAAACGTGCATCGTCATCAGTTAGTGATGTAGACTGTTATCATCATTGGGTCACTAGATTCAAATTTCATCATATTTCTGGTATTTTCACAACAGTGGTAAATTATGACATGCCTACACAGAATTTTTATTTTGCTAGGTTGCCTACACAAGTTATGAGGTACTTTGGTTTATACAGCAAATCGACTATACCTACCTATGCTCCTTCGCATTTTTCCCTTTCATGCCCCTCACCCCATCAAAATTTGTATTTTGTTTTCTTACTTCACCTTTCGGTTCTCTTCCTCATACATCTCGCATTCCATACCCCACTTCTTAGTCCTAATATTGGTCCTATTGGTCTGCATACACTCCCCCTCCCTGAAGTCACCTCTCCAACATCACAGCCATTTTTTCAGTGCTTAGCCTACTCTTCTACCATGATGATGGAGGCAGCAAATTCCTCTGAAACATCGATTGTGATCTACCAGACTGCAAGATGCCTCATCTCAGAAGACTGTATTCATCAGTAATGTTCAATGCACACCTTTTCAATTTTTCATTGTGAACACACCATAATTCTGTGCAAAATGATAAAGAGGGACAATGTGGGACCCTCAACGTCTCACAACCCTATGGGCCTTCACGGCTTGGTACGGGGATAGCTTTACTTTTTTTTTAAATGATAAAGGGGTCCTCGACTATTGGTCAAAGTTTAGACCTAGTGATTATGTGACCCTCAAATCCAGCATACCTTAATATATCCCAAACAATCACATTTTGTACAAGCCAAACAAAAAACGGGATATTCGAAATCGGATACTGGAGTATATTCTGTGACGTCAGTCTACAAGGTTTAAAATTCAAATAGTATACATGCACGAACCAGATTTTGACTCTTGTGCAACAGTGGACTGATGTTTTATTTTCACACAGGCTGCTTCTGTCCCTTTCACCTGGGGTGATATAAGATCATTATACACCTGCTGTAACGGTCGAGCTGAAAATATATAACCACAAACTTCATACATTAGGTTAGTTTCGCTACTACTTTTAGTACTTTTTACAAAAAAAAAAAAACTGTTCAGGAATTTAACCGTATATTTTCTGCAACAAGAATAGTGAAAGGCAATAAAACAGACGTATTTATGGACGTACACCGTAATGATACACAGCGCAACATATCTATTCATGAAACAGCTTCGCACAATTTTAACCTCTATTCTCCTCTCTCCTTGCTTCCCACCGCCATCTAAATCATCTAAATGGTTATACAATCCAACGGTTGACGGCCAAATTATCTGCATATTAGTAACAAGTCGGAAAGGCTGTGCGTGAATGAGGAGGGAAATCAATCAGCGTATTTGGATTCCTTACCGCTTCGTTTTCATGCTATGAGTCCTTAAGGAAACGACAAAGCCGAAATAGAAGGCGCAACGTATACGTTAGCGAGATACTGGGCGAAATAAATTATCATAGCTGCCTGAGAAAATTAAAATGTAAGACGTTTCAAATGATTTTTATTTCTATAATTTTAATTGTTTAAAAAGTAGCACAGCCATCGAGTCGCTTTCCAACGAAGGAATGGCAGAACTGATGGGTAGTTTTAGGCTGTAGTAGCTGAGAAGTCTGCCTTAATAAATTTCGGCCTTGAAAAGCTTCCCACAAAGAGTGCAGTGTCTTAACCAATTTAGGCCTTAAATATCTTCCCTGAGAGAAGGCAGTAGTTACAGGACTGGTCATACTTATTCCCAATGGAATTACATTTGGACACCCTTGAATCAGTTGAGTTTTATTCATCCTTTAAACTACTGACAAAGGACACCACTTATATATACACATATGTTTTAAAGTGCCTCATTTTTTCCACTTACATAATTTTATTTAGTAATTTGTTGCATAAGTTGATTCCAATATTCATTGTATCCTTCTTGAGAACATTTGTTCTACAAAGCTGAACATGGAAGTTCAACATTTGGCATGTATTATTATTATGAACTGCAGCATTTTCTTCCAGTTAACATGTCTTTGGTGTCTGAAATAGACAGTGTCAGTAAAAAGAAACTCAAGGTAAAATTACTCCAGCAGAGGACTAAAATAGAGGCAGTTAGATAAACTTGTCCACCCCTATACATCAAGGAATGCCACAACATTAGACAGATAGCAGTTACAAGTATAATCTAAATATTCCACAGCTCATCTTGCTGGTCACATATGTACAACATTATTTGAAAATAGTAAATAAAGTCACTGTGGTTTCCAAGTAAAACAAACAATAATATACACACACACTCAAGAAATGTAGGCATTTAACTAACTTCAGTTTACTAAATAGCCGCTGTGACCAGTGTAACAATTAGCAATCATTCCTCCCTCTAACCTTTGCCTCATACCTCACTGATGGCAGCTAGATACGAACTTTCTCACTTCTTGTAAGCTTCGGCAGTAGTTCTCAGTCACACACAAGTAAATGTAACTTATATAGTTAACTTTTAGCAGATGTGACAAACTAATTTAGTGCATTACACTACAATTAGAATACATAAAAAAAATAAACTTGTGAATTCAGATACAGTAACTAAACTGAATACAAAATGAAATGAAACTCTGAACAGATCACGTTGGGAATTTCTTATCCATTAGAATGGAATATTTGTGATGCAAATGCTTTATTGTACTTCTATGGTGGATGCCCAAAAGAAAATTAATGCATAAACATAGTTCTCCCCCACACATTTATTATACACAATCTGCAGTATCTGAAATAAATATATATGTTCAATAAGTATTGGCTCGTGAATGAGTTATGCTCAGTGGCGTAACCCATACACTTTCTTTATTCACTATAGGTACGGAAATTAAGATTATAGCGTCGAATTACTGGATGATAGTGAATAATGAACTGGAAAAGCCGTGAAAGGAAGCGATCATGATCTGGCAGAAGGTCCTGGCATTTGCCTGCATGGACAGAACATTACTGTGAAGTACCTCAGTCTGTATAGTCGGTGCCCGGTCGGGATTCGAACCACTCATCTATTGAACATAAATCAGAAGTTTACCACTTCAGCCACCTTGTTTCGTGCTTGTGGTTTTGCTGCAGGCCAACAGTTATTCTATTCAGTACAAGATTTAGCATACCCCCACAAGTTCTGCGATGGACTCAAGGCTTTTGTTTTGAACGTTGCGCCCCTGCTTAAATACCACTTTATTAAGGCATATAGAAGGAAAGGAGTAAAAACCGTCCTTAACCTCTGCAGTTTATGAATGTGAGTGTGACATTCACGTTTCCGCCACTTTATCCCGGTACCTATTCAACCTAATGAGGAACTTCATAACTTGTACTCTTCTCCAAGTATAATTAGAATGATCAAGTCAAGGAGGATGAAGTGGGCAGGACATGTAGCACGAATGGGGGAAACGAGGGATACATATAGGATATTGGTGGGAAAGCCAGAAGGAAAGAGACCACAGGGAAGACCAAGGCATAGGTACGTGCACAATATTAAAATGGATCTTAGAGAGATAGGATGGGATGGTATGGATTGGATTGATCTGGCTCAGGATAGGGACCAGTGGAGGGTTCTTGTGAATGCGGTAATGAACCTTCGGGTTCCATGAAATGCTGGGAAATTCTTGAGTAGCTGCAGAATTGGCGGCTCCTCCAGAAGGGCTCAGCTCCCCGAGTAAGTACCTATTGAACAGGAATTATGCGGGCTCGAGAGAGGGTATGGCGAAGAAGAGAATCCTTGCCCAGTTTTCCCTAAGCGTAGCCATTTCCGACGTTATCTTCTATAGGTATTTTAAACAGAGAAAGTGAAGTGGCTTGCTTTCAGCGTAGCAGTTTCGTGTTTTAGCGCAGCAGTGGAGGGAGGCGATGAATCCTTGACCTTCGCGCCTAGCTCCATCCGCTACCAACAGCTGATTCAATCACAACGCTCCACATGTACCAGTATTTATATTCCGTCAATTGGTTGTCCAGGGATCCAGTACGCTGCGAGGATCAGGATGATAGTGACTGGTTGCGTACGGAGATTGGCGTTCCAATCGCCGAGTGCTGCGGCAAATGTTGCAGTTCTCTCGCATGGCAAAGTCCTGGCCGCAACGGATGCGTTTCGAGGAAGGATTTCGGCGTGTCATCAAACCGAGCACCGCCGTCTCAAGTAAGCACAGCCTTCACACATTCTTACACGGAGAATACAGCGTATTCGTGTTTGTACTATAGGTCTGGACGCCACATTTGCATACTCCATTGACCTTAGTGTTCATTTACTGCAGACCCAGGACTCGCCACAGTGCGAGCTAGAAACTGGTTTGCATTTCGTTTCGTTAAATATTCACCACATACAAAAATGTTCTTACAAAGATATCTGTACATTACGTCAGTGATTCTCAGCCACCCAGCAGGTTCAAGTAGCCGTAACATTCCTTGAGTCGTGTGAAGGGGTCGGGAGACACCTACCCTCTCGGGTACCTTAGAAAGTTTATTATTAATATATTTTTCGAGGGGTGGGGTGAGACTGGGTTCACTTGGTATGTTGACCACTGTTTGGCCTATTGTACCCGTCCCGGATGATAGATGACGATGACGATGAGTGTGGAGCAGCCGGTGGAATGGGAATTGGCAGGGGAAACCGAAGTACTCGGAGAAAACCTGCTCCAGTTCCACTTTGTGCACAACAAATTCCACGTGATCTGACTTGGGCTCGAGCCCGGGCCAGCGCGGTGGGAAGTCAGCAACTAACCGCCTGAAGAATGGCACGGCCAGAAACAGCTAACGTAGGTTGCCCAGTGACTGAGGTTAGCTTTTTCTGACAGACCCAGTAGTTGATTCCCTCCCCCTCACCAGAGGACGCAAACAGATCCAGGTTCCCGAAACGTTTGTGTTCTGTTGTGTTTTTTAGAATACCAGACGATGGACAAAGTCCAGAAACCCAGCAATCCAGAGTGTCGAACTGAGTAGTATCGAGTGATTGGTTCATATTGAATTGGAAATGATGTGGAACGAATTGGTCAGGGCCTAAATTTAAGGTGCTGCCCAAGCATTTGCTGTAGGGACAGAGGAAACCCATGCAACATTTCAGGCAGGACCGTCGATAAACCTGCCGTGAATCGGACAGGGTACCTCCCGCTTGCAAGTAAGAGGCATAACCGCCTCAGCCATCTTGACCGCTAGTTTTACAGTTTTGAAATGGGGGCCCCCCTCTTTGACAAGCGGAGGGGTCGGACTGTGCTGGCCCTCAGTCACTCACTGGCTCCTCAACAACCTGTCTCACTAGTTTTACAGTCGTATTCACATATTTTCAATATGATTAATGATCAATCATGTATCATCACGTTTTGTTGCTAGGATACATGCAAGTTGCCTGCTTTCGTAGGAGTGATTCGCACACTCTCCTTACCCGTCTGTTACTGTCGTCTTGTCCACATGCCTTAACTCCTCAGTGCACAGAGATATTTCGAATTTTGAAAACTTTGTTTAAAGTCAGTATGAAATACTGCTTAATACAGACGCTACGCTACGCACGAGATGTCTCGCTTAAACGCATCTGAGCTATCTCTCAACATTCTCTTACCTTGGAAATGCTCGTATTGTGAGAGAAGGAATGAACATATCTCCATTTTCAATGTCGAAGAGTACGTCAAGCAAGAATCTAGCATGTGTCAAGCAGAACTTTCAATCCAGAATATCGTATCCGTCATAAAGTAATAAATTGATTGTGGATGTATATAACGCGCTGTTACTGACAGTGGTCCATGTGATTCCCTCATGTGCCGGAAAGCCTATTCTTACACGGTGAATCTCATTCCAGTTTCCATCAAGAGAACGTCTGCCAGTTCAGTGCCACCCATGTCCCCTCTGACATCCTCCACTCCCACTAAATCTGACTTATCTCTGCAGATTCTCTTGACATCTGCCCTCAAGATCACTGCCATTCCCAGCTGCAAATTCTATTCCCGTTTCCTATCGCTGAGATCATTCCGAAGAATATGTGTAGCTACTGGAGCTATAGTGGGGCACTATGCTACAAGCCGGAAGGTCGCGGGATCGAATCCTGATGAGGTCATTGGATTTTTTCAATTTACCTAATCCTTCCAGCCGCACTATGGCCCTGGTGTCGACTCAACCTCTAACAGAACTGAGTATCAGGAATATTCTTGGGGCTAAAGGACGTCCGGTGGGTAGGGCTGACAACCTTACCGCAATCTATTAGCTGATTGTCTAGAAAATGTGGGAACCTCAACATCTCACAACCCTATGGGCCTCCACGGCCTGTTACAGGGATACCTTTACTTACTTTACTTACTGGAGCTATAGTACGGTAAATGAGGCTCTCGCGGCGGTGGTTGGGAAGAGTTCCATAACCTGTAGTCCATTGAAGGTCAACATATTTTTAAAGCAGACAACACGGCGTTATATCCTAGAACATAGAATTCTTTGGTAACTGTATCCGGAAATAATTGAATGGTTCTGTCAGTAGAATCAGGAACCATTGGTGGCAGTGTTGCAGTTCCCGTCATAAATCCACAATGACGCGCCATCGTGCCGAGGAACTGTGTAACATTTCGTGACATGCTGACTTTTTGCGGCTGAGAAATTGTTACTTCCACCGCCCAACCTGGAGGACTACCCCGTGTCGGGCGTCCACGACTTCTTATTCAGTATATTAACAGGTGCCGTTCATACCTGGAGGGCTTTCCTTCCGTCTACAAATTGAGGATCTCCCCAATCGAGGTATCCACGACTTCTTATTCAGTATATTAACAGGTGCCGTTCATACCTGGAGGGCTTTCCTTCCGTCTACAAATTGAGGATCTCCCCAATCGAGGTTGCGAGGGGCCCGTACGAGATATCGCATTTATTTTGAGCACAAGACGCATGAGATATGTCTGTAGTCAGTGGCGGGAGCTGCGTCTGTTCCACTGCACCAGGTGTCGCCAGTTTGCACCGCTTGAAAGATTTGGTGGAAAGCCAGAAGGAAAGAGACCACTAGGAAGACCTAGACGTAGGTGGGAGGATAATATTAAAATGGATATTAGAGAAATAGGACGCGGTGGTATGGATTGAATTAATCTGGCTCAGGATATGAATCAGCGCATGGCTGTTGTGGACACGGTAATGAACCGCCATAAAATGTTGAGAAATTCTTGTGTAGCTGAGCGACTGGCGGTGTGTCAACAAGGACTCAGCTCCATTGAGTTAGTTAGGGTGAAGGGTAACCTTGCTGCCCTTCTTAGTGCAGTGTATGCCCATTATTTTCTTTCTGTACATGGTCCATTGATAGGATGATATCGAATGGTGAATTGGAAAGGATTAGGAAGGAAGCTGTCGTGGGTTAATCGAGGTACTGTGCCGGAATTTTCTGGAGGGACTGGGAAAACCCACGATGAACTTAGGAGATTCGTGACAGGCACCTTTGGAATAGAAGTGATATGCCAACCCGGCTTGGTATGAAGAACGAAGAATATACTTTGCTTTTCCTGTTCGTCTGCCAGATAAAAACTATTTTTCCGGCAAATTAATTGAAGAGTTCTGATGTTATCAAGTTGTGCCGACATAACGCTTGAGCCCTACGAACTTCTGAACTTAGTTTATCAGTAATAGTATTTGTGAAGAATTCTAGCCTTTGATAAAACTTGTTATCGTCGTTCGGACCAGTCCTATTTTAAAATTGCAAAATTCCACAATCCTTACACAAAGAAGAAGGCAAAAGTAGCAGTGGAAAAGTCGCCCTCTCTTTAAGCCAAAATACATTGCTGCAGGTAGGTATTCTTACTTCGGCTACATGAATATCTCATTTAGAATGTCGGTGCTCTCCGTTCTGAGTTTTTTTTTTCAGGAAGCATGAAGTTCCCCCGTCCCAATTTCTTTTTACTTCGGTCTTGTATTTTCACAGAAATTCAGGAGGGGCAGATACCTGATTCCCCCATTTATTTTTTCTTCGGTCTTGATATTTTCACCAAAATTCAGGAGGGGGTATATTGCCTGATTCCCCCTCCCCCCACCGGCGCCCATGGTAACAGTTCTTACTGAGAACTGGAATTGTCTGTTTTGATGACAGACACAAGTGTCGCACAGATCTGGTGAGCTATATATAGCGATGACTCATCTACATCACATTTCGCACAGAAATTGTCGCTTGTGCCAAAGGGACGTGTCTGTGTTCTGTTCACTGGACAGGTAGGCAGATGTAATCGAGCATGGACTTTGTTACATATGTTCCTTGTTTACGATTTCTTGAAGAACGCAGATAACAAAACAGGCAGTGTAAAGGTTATCACTAAGCCTACTTAATGGAATGCAACCTCGGAAACAATGGAAAGGGTATACGCCACAATAAAATTACCAACGGCGGTCTTCGGAGTTACCGAAATTATGTGTAACGATATGGGAGCGGAAGTACCCCACATCAAAGTTCAACAAAATCTACGGATGGGTTTATGGGATATATGGCTTTTTCTTTTTTGTGGAGTAGACTTAAATATGGAACAGTATGGCTGAAAATTGTAACTTCTGGACATATTTTGGTGAAAATCGGCCTCATCTGCTTTAATACATTCAACCTAACGGTTTTGGCATTGCTATACTAGGTGACATACAGACATAACCTCCAAATAAGGCATTCCAATCGGGCCCGTGAGCCACCGCGGGCCTGCCTGGGTGGGGTGCCGGACTGAATGTCACATAGACCGCTTTTGATGTCGAATATGTGTATTCAGTCGGTCTTTCACGTGCCCAGAGCGTGACAACGGTTGTGTTCTTGTCACTACAGCACGAAGTGTGTGCTGCTGAAGCTGAAGAATGGCGGTAGCTACTGATTTTTAAGTTATATAACCCAGTACGTTTTAGAAGCCTACAGCTTTGTGCGTGAGACGTGTAGAGGCCTGAGTTAGACTGTGAGTGAATCTGCTGAAGCCGAAGTCTTATCGAGCATTAGCGAGAGCTAGAACTGTATGGAAGAGTGACACAAGTACTAGTAGCCGTTTTAGTTTGTCAGGTCAGAGCCCGTCAAACGAGGACGCTGCTGCCGTGTCTTGTTTGAAGATATGATTCTTCCTTTATCTAGCGCTTCACGTCTCTGCGATGCTGGGCCCTCTGAGCGGCTTGCTGTGCGTTGAAATGTTGCTGCCGCTCGCCCACCTCTAGTGTCGCGTTCCTGAA